AAAGGCCTGCACTCGAAAGGAATGATATGAAGTTAGGCCCCTTTTAATTAGCAAAAGAATAGATGAAATATAAACATGCATGATCTGTGAATGGAACCTCCTATTCTGGAGACTAGACCTTGCCTATTTTAGAGAAAAAGAAAAAGATTTAAGTTTTGATGACCTTGCCGGTCCTTTGAAATAGATGGCGATCCCGCAACACGGCTCGCAAAATTTTACAATCACGGACACAAAATATCAAAACGGTTTACACAAGCAGATTATAGCAACACCAAAGCTCACACACATTCGATCAAATTAGCGATATATGGCGATATTTGTTAGCTTCTTAGCTTTTCCTCGACCTCGCTCGTCCAAATAACTGTCGTATCCCTTGCTAATTTGTACAAGCGACCCGAGGCTCTTGCCCGTTACTATGTGACGTCATACTGGCAGGCGGAGTGGGTCAAGAAACTTAGGTGGAAAACAATAGAGTTACCTACCCTCCGCTGAACTCAAGATTCTACTACTTACCTTCAAGGCTCTGCATCAGCAATCTCCAACCTACATTCAAGACCTAATCACCCGCTACTTACCGTCTAGATCGCTTCGGCCATCTTCTACGCTCAGTCTGGATCTTGTTAGTTTTAACCTTATTAAAGACCTATGGATCTAGAGCATTCTCTGTCTCAGCCCCCGAACTTTGGAACAAACTACCTGACGACATACGCTCAAGCGATAATCTAAGTCTTTTTAAGCAGAAAGTTAAAACCTACCTTTTTAAGAACTTTTATTTTAGTCATTAGGAAGATGTATTTGATTTTATGTGTGTTTTATTTAAATTTGAATTTATTTTTATCAATTTGAGGATCTATTACTGGATAGGCGCTATAAAAATGTTATTATTATTATTATTAACTTTTAAAATCGTGAGTACAAGTAAAGCTTGAATTCTCTGTCCGATAGAAAAAAATAATCGTAAAATCTTTAAACTGACCGCAGGAGGAGAATGTGGCTGTCATCAGGTTTTCAAAATTAAATAATAACGAGTTCTAATTAACCGCAATGACGAAAGTGATTAGAATGCGGGAATTTTAATAATTATTAGAAGAGCTAAGCACGCACCGGCACAAATGTTTAACAAAGGTCACACGTTATGGTGGCAGCAAATAAATAATCATAGAAGAAAACTGATTTTTAAGAAATAATTGTGTAAAAAATATATAATTAAGGTTTATACCTTTTGGAAAAGCTCGTTAAAGTGGGTATGTTGTGCATTTATAAATTTCTTACGGCAGTTAAACACCTACAATTTGGAAACGAAACAATAAATACTGAAATACGTGTTTCTTTTTAACACTAAATACAATGGAAAACGGCTTTTCTCAGTTTATAAAATTGTCTCAATGAAATGTTTCTGTTCCAAATTTTTTTTCGTCTTTTTTTATGAGCAACCGTCCATTTTTTTTATGAAGGACGATGGACAAAGCCCTTTTCCCACTGAATGGTCGGTACTGAAAAAAAAAACTTGCGGCGTTTTAAAAAACGATCGTAATAGCTGAAGGGCCAAAAGAATGGAATCGTTTATTTTCAGCCTCTTGTTATGATGAACTTCTACTGATAATCCACTTTAACCCTGATAATCCTACAAGTGTATTACACTTAACCCCCAAGCTGATTATCTTGGTTTATAGAATATTTTCTACCATGCCAGATAGATGTAATGTACATGTCTTCTCATCGTATGCTTGAGATATTTACGTCGTCTAAATTCTGATAATTACTTGCAAATGGCCGGTAATTTTTTGTGCGATTTCCCTCTGGAGTGCGAAAATGTTGCTCCGTTAATAGTATTCTGAGCTAGCCAATCAACATGAATCCCGCACAAATGATATTAAATACAATTTAGTAAAGCAAAAGAGTAAGCTATTTTGGGATCCTCTGCAGCAGTTACTAGGCTTCTTGTGTAGGGGTATACTTGATGGACGTTTGGCCTTACAGTTTCAAAAAAAAATGAAATGAATAAAATTTTGCTATTCTAGCAAAACATTTAGCTTTTAATCTTAATCTTGGTATTTTTTAAACGGCTGACCAAGCGTCCAATCACAGAAAAGCAATCTTTTCCGCTTTACAGGTAACTAGCCACAACACACAAATAACAGTTTCCTCCGGCGACGAGAAAATAAACGTGCTCATTTAACTTTTGCCTTCCTGAAAAGTCAATTTTTGCGTTTATTATGTCAAATTGTGATTTTTTTTGGCTAAAACACGAAACTGAATTTAAAGCTGTTGTTAAAATATAAATGTTGTGCCCAAGGACGGTTTAAGCTTTGTTCACCCAACATATTCATAGTAAAGTTTTTTTGGCCAAAGTTAAGAAATTTTTACTAACGTAAAGGAGAAAGTTAAACACCCGTGACAGCTTAATTTCGTAGCGTTGATAAACATTATTTTTTAGCTACCAGAGGCTCATTAAGTACTTACTGTATTTTTCTTTTCCGGACCAATACCTGCTAACCAATCGGAACTAAACTTGACCAAAGCTTGTCAATTAAATTATAAAGTTCATGAAGTACCTTTAATTAACCACAATAGGTATTTAAGTTCATCCCCCATAAGGCTGTACACGGCCACAAATACATTTACGTACGAAATTAAAAGCACAGGGATTTCGCTGCACTCCACATTTCAATTGTAGCGGCTTCAGGTGGTCAAACTGACCTTTCATACGAATCTTGGGATGACCGAGATTGCAAAGTTTTCAAGAAAAGCTTGCGTTATGGTAAGAGCTGCACTTAACTATCGTTTAATTTTACTTGAGCAAGATTCACAGAGATTTCTGTCAATTTTTCGTGTTTATTTTTATGGCCGCAAACTGCGTCGAGACCTCATTTAATTGAAATTATTACGAAAAAAAGGACAAAAACTGTCATCTCGATACTCTAAAAGAAAAACCTTATAAACTCAGCTTTATTGAAGAAAAGGCCGGAATTCAATTTAATGATATTGGTTGACAGCGTTCGTTACTTAGGCAATAATGACCTTAACGCTGCTTAATGTATCCCTAAAAACTAGAAAGTCTATATCTAAGATATCTGGAAATTTTCAAAACATCCTTGCATTAAAAATCTTTTTCGAGAAAAAAATAGTGTTTCATTAGTTTCAGCCACACGTACGAACCGTCGTCTTCAAATTTGCAGGGAAGAAAACTGCAGCTCTCTCAAATGCAGAAAATTCTAAACAGTTGTGGAGGTTTCACGCTGAGATAGGTTAAATATTGTTTAGTATCTTGGTTACATGTATCATGGTATACGGTTATATCTTTGAAAAATAATGTCACTAGCTCATAAAATATACTCGCAAGAGAAAATTTAGTAGAAAGCACCAAATATAGAGTGTACTATTGCGAATGAACGCAGCCGCTCGATATTGAGAAAAAAACAGCAAGCCACTGTTCTCGGGTAGACTGTTGTAAGGTGTTTAAAACTCTGAAAACTTGCTTTTACCGAAATACATAATGTCACAGCGACATGAAAATTAAAATTTCTCGGACAGCAAATATTGACTCCAAGAATCCAAACATTGTGTATTTGATATAAGAGCTGACAGCAAATGAAATAGATTTAGCTATGACGCTAATGAGACCGTCATGAAACCTGGGAGAAAAATATTTCATGAAAACGGGAGATACGTGCGAGGGTATTTGCCCACTCGCGCGTGTTTGGGCCATTCGTGCGTGTACATGCTCGTGTTATATTTTTCTGTACAGTTATTCCCCCAAAAAAGGAGCGAGATCACAAAAACAATCTCCAAAGAGGGAAAAAAAATATTTGGTTTGGTTTCGTTTCCACATCTGACGAAGCTAATAAAATAAAATAAAAACGATCTAGGGGAACCCCATGTGTGACCACTGACCTATCTTAAGCGATCACCCATCCGAAATACAAAGCCACGCTTTCTCAGTGAAAACTGTGGGTGAAATCCGCCCTCGAGAGGGAGTTACCTTCGGTAGACGACAACCAATTCTTGGCAATTTCGGTGGTCGCTTTCGTGAGGTTCGACTCCCAGTCTGCATGTCATTACATAATTTTTTTTTTCAAAAACAAACAATATCACAGCTAGCCGGAACGGTCTGTTGCCAATGGAAGTTTGCCTTATTTTTGCCTTAACGACTTCTTCTTTGTTATGGATAATTTATTAGCTTAAAAGTGTCTTTAGCTTTCGTACAACTCCTTAAACACAAAACTGAACAGGGGAATTAATTAGGTCAGCTCATCTCGAGGGAAAAAAAGATTCCGCACAGAGAGTTATTGATCACTGGAGCGGGAGTTCTTACATTTTAAAACTCTAGAGAGAAGAAGAAATAGACTTACTGTAAAATATAGACTGAATGACCAAGAGCCTTAATAAACCTAGCAAACATTAAACACCTTCCCTTCTCTGCCCAGAGACACATTACAAATGCCATAATTAAACATAAAGAAAAGACAGTCAATATCAGTTGTTGCCTAATTAACACTACCACGTTCTCACTGTTCGTACAAGAAAATTGTCAAGAAGTACTTTATGCCACACTTCAGTGTCTTTTATATAAGCGTCAGTTTTGCGAAGGATTAAATGATTTCAGGTTGGAGGTAATTAGAGTGGATTATATTTTTCCGCGTTAAACTAGTAACACCTGCTTGAGAGGAGAGGCTTTTATTTAACTATAAACTGCACCTCAATCGTAAAATAGCGGTTACTGAGATATTTTGAAAGCCACGGTAATATTTTTAATGTTTTATTAGCTCTTGAGAAATGAAGGTCAATTTTCACTTACGTTGTTTTCCAAAATATGATTATCAGTTCTTTGAAATATGCTGCTCCGCCATTAAATGCTTTATTTCTACTAATTAATAATTCATTCGTTTCACGGTGCACTATTGATTCAGATCTTGTTTCAATAACCTTTTTCAAGTAGTTTTCTTTAACTACTTCTTATTTGTATCTACACTCTCTTTCTCTTCTTGTATGATCAGCTCTCTTCAGATCGGTCTTCACGGCCGCAAAGTATTGTTCTAGTTGATACAGCACTTCCTTATACACTGTGGTATATAAGCGTGCTTTTTTGTTGTTGTGCCTGCCTGTTTTGCTACTACACAAGATCGCCCTATTATGTCACGATGGAAGCAAGTATCCTCCCTTGTGCATAACAAGACCCTGGTGTCTTCTCTTGGGGTAAGTTTTCAAGCAGTATCATTTGCTCACACGGTATCTTGTGCATGCACTTCTCCAGAACTACTCGCATGCTGGCCAGTTGCAGTGATGTCTTACTACTCCTTTTGTAGCTTATTCATTTACGTATGCAAGCGTATTTATTTTTTCGTCTGTCTGTTTGCCTATTTAGCAATATTTTCATTTGACGCTGTGTCTGTTCCATTGCTATCCTCGCTATGTTTATTCTCTTCATGTAGCCTTTTATTTTCGTTCGACCTTTCATGTGAAAATATCACTCAGTTTGTATGTTATTTCGTTCATCTTTCACTCATTTAGTATTTCCTTTTTAGCTTTTACTTGTCATCTCCTCGACCTAGTTTTTAATTGTATTCACCACCCCTCTTCAATGGAGATTTGAAATGCACATCATACTAAAACATGCTAAATAACCTTGAATTGCGAGGAAACACTGACACAACCCAGCCAGTATATATCTGCTACTGGATCTCATTTAAGACTTGACTTAAAGAGGGAATAATTAACCAAAATAATTGTGAGGCTGGCACTGCGACAGAGGACGCATTCATAAAAGGCCAATATTTTCTTCAGCATATATCTCTTTAAATTATTATTGCAACCCTCTCAAGACTTATAGTAGTAGTTGAAAATAGTCTAATGAAATTAGCCTTTTGCTGTGGACACTTTCACTAACCTTTACAAATCATTGAACGACAATAGGCGATTTATTTTCGTTCTTTCTGTTTGGAATTCAAGTCAGAAACCTTTATCGTTCCCTCTTCCGGTTAATTTCCTACGGTCATTAATTCGATCATTTATTTGACTCTCGACTTCCTCTCCTTACCATGGTTTTATTTCTTCCGGTTGCTCGGTGTTTTCGTCTGTGGTTGTTTGAAACGGTTTGAGAAGGAATTATAATGATAACTGCTGACCTGAATGTTTTTAAGGAAGTTATCGAAAGTTACATCACATGTTGATGTTGTGTTGTGAAGTATTGAAAGAACCTGCCGAGATAGTTGTGACTACCTTGCCTCATCACTTACATTTTTATTGTATTTACTCGTTCAAGGCAAGAATTATAATAAAAGAGAAGTTATTATAAAGTGTTAAAGTTCTTAAATTGCTAAAAATACATTTTCGTGAAAAAATCCAATATGGTTACCGATTGCTAGTGTCACGGTGTTCGGGTTGGCATTCAAAGGGTTAAATTTCTTATCATAAATCTAAATCTGCCCCTCCCTTCAAAAATAATCAGGGAGGGGGGAGAAGCAAGCAAATTGGCGAACTCGAGGCTACCCTACTCCCTGTTAAAAACTTGCCTTAACAAAAAGGGTATATCAGACCTACAAAGATGCAGATCAGTCAGTTACTAGTGCTGTTTACAAGACAGGAGTTTTTATCTTCAAAAAAGGACACTTTAATATCAGAGAGATCAGATTTAGAATCACGTTTTCCTTAACGTTTGCCAAGAGACAATGTTTTCCCTTTACTTTTCGTTTACTCTTCGTTATAAATAAATGGTTTCAAGCCAGGCTGACAGTTTTTATCTGCTCATTTCCTAATTTGAGAAATTGTCATGAAGTTGAATCTTACGTTTGGCGTTTGCTGTTTTAATACGCGAGTCTAAATCTCTTCACAATGAAATCGTTAGTTCAGAAATTGTCCAGAAGGCTGCTTCCTTTCTCTTTCTCCGCTTTAAGATGGGATTGCTTTTATTGCTTTTATTTTTGGTTGTTAAAACAACTGTCAGCGGTAAACGTATTTTTCGGGGCGCTTTCCATTTACCAACAGGCTTCCTGAAATTCCGGTTGGTCGTTCCGCCGAAAGATTTCTGGGATCAAAGGTTGTTTACCATTTACAATGCAAACCGGTCGGTTTACACTGTAAGTTAAATGGTAAGCAAAACTCAAGACTGGTAAATTTCGTCCCGGAATCGTATTTACGGTTTGTTCAAATCGGTTCCGGCATTAACCGAAAACGGCCACGAAGGCCTGAAACTGGTATCAAAGATGGCTTCCGTCACTTTCCAACCGTATTTTCAGAAAACTTTTTGTAAGTGGTAAACAACCAACAAAACATCTGAAAAGTTAGTCCCGTTTCTCCGGAAGGAATGTTGCAGACAGAAATTCCAGTTCCATTTCTTCAGAGTCAACTTTGATGCCAGTTTCTGGCTTTTGCAGCCGTTTTTTGGTAAATGGAACTGTTTTGTGCAAATGGTAAACGTGACTCCGGAATGAAATTTACCGGTCCTGAATTTTGTTTACCATTTACTCAAACCGTGAACCGACCGGTTTGCGAATGCCCATGTAAACAATAAACAACCTAAATCTCTCTTTGTTTATTATTATATTGCGGTCCATCTTCTGAGTAACCGCTAAATTTTCAATTATTTGAACGGAAGGTACATTGTCTCTGCGCATTCCTTTCATTTTCATTGTGGGTTCCCAAAAGCTACAAAAAAGGAAATCAGAATTTTTGATTTATTGGGTATTGTACACATTGCCCTATCAGAAACCGAAGGGGTACCACTGAATTCAGAGGGCTTCAATCAATATCATCTTAAAATGAATTATAAACACCAAGTAAGAATAAAAGACACTAGTTTGCTTTCCCAAAACAAACGTGAAAGACAGATTGGGCTAGCGAAATACAATATAGCTGTGAGAAGCAATTTGTTTCTGTGAAAACTCATATTAACGATAAATGCAAAATAGGGGAATCGAAACGTATTTGGAATTATTAAAGCTCTCTTCATTAAAATATGGCATAATATTTGCTCGAGATTCTTCATTATGTATGATTACACTAGGTGTCGCAGAAAAGTGGGAATAATTTATTTTCAAACCGTTAAAAAACGCTTCTGTATCTCGAACGAAGCAATAAAGTTGTTTTTATTTTAAAGCGATGTCCAGCAGTGTACATTTTCTTGGCTTTGAATTCAGTATTAAATTTTTTACAACGATCTGCTTATTATTTTGTCGAAAAAGAGCGAGGCCCGGAAATTCACAGGTAATTATTTCCATATTAAAAGCTTTACTACTTATTTAAATTTGGTTTTCAGGCCATCAAAGTGATATTCACCACGTAACAATTTTTCTGAAGCGGGTTCTTTTCAGTTTGAATTTAAATGATCTTATAGATGCCTAAATTGTAATGCTGTCTCCCGAGTGTTCGAATAGTCTTTCAGTTTATGATCTTGTGAGCCTAATCATCGAGTCATGTAGAGCAACAAAAGGAATCAGGGATCAGTGATTGTTATACTGAGCGACTTGAGCCGGGCAATGAAAAAATAAGTCACTGCAGACTTTTAATATGTTTATGGTATAGCCATTATAAAAGTTCCTGCATGTCATATTCGACTTGGAAGGTAAGGTGTTTGATTTTACAGTGCTCTAACGCTTTTTGTTATTTTGGTTTTTATTTTTAGCAAAGGGCAAGTTACACTTTTACCCCAAACAAGGAAGAGGTTATCGAATCAAGGTGAGCACAATTGCTTTAATTTCTTCCTTGAGACGTAAAAATATCAACAAAGCTAAAGTGTAGTTTTATTTAAAATAACAGTTATTTCTCCGCGTTCCATCTATAGAGGACAAATAAAAAAACTAGCTCGTAGGTTTTGCGTTTGAAATTAAAATTCTAAGTTGATACTCATCGCCTTGATTTAGAGTGATTATCATAAGCAACCTGAAGGTGACTATAAACAACAATGCTTTTAGAAGAAAATAAAAAACATTGTAGCCTCTATATGATAAAAAACGGGGGTGGCTATAAATAAAATTCTGGCGGGAAAGGCGAAATCAAAATCTGGCCGCAGCAGCACAGGCGTGAAAGACTTTGTATCAGACCCAATTTTAGAGCGACCGCGTAGGAAAGAATGTATGGAAGCTACTAAAATTGATTGGGTCTGATCTCAGGTTAAGAGTAGATTTAAGAGCTGGCGCCGAGACACAAAAACAAGCGACCGACCGACCGTCAGTTGTTCAGGCAAAAATATGCAAAATTTGAAACAAAGAATCAAGTTTCGGAGGGGCTTGACAGCGAGTCGTGGCGTAAAAAATGCGCATATAAATCTTCAAATTCGAGACGGCACTTAACAAAATTGGCTTAAACTTTACATCTCCCGTTTATTCTAAGAGATTTTTAACGTTACAGGTAGCTAAGATATCTCCCTGTGCGTTAAATCAAACGGTCAATATTCATTGCAGTTAAGGAGCCTTAATTAAACGAGTTAAAAAAAAACTGACTATTTTACATGTAACTTAAATTTACTTAGGATCCACGACAAATGAACTAACTGTGAATAACTAACTCGAATTTTTGTCGATGTCTATAATATTCTCAGCAAGATCAGATTTCTATTATCCATACCAAAAATAAAGTGATAAAATTTTAAACAAAACTCGACTTTTGAGTTTCGATATTCGCAGCGGCAACCGCATGACTAGAGCAGACAATTAAGGCTTGATGTTTTTGTGGGTATTTTTTAATGAAGACTTAATTATGACAGCTTCGATCAAAACAATCACAATTCCTTTTTTTAAAATTCAATGAATATTATTTATATAGATGCCCTGTGATTCTAGTTCAGAATAAAATTCAAAATAAATGATAAATCACTTCGCATCAGCCACAATTTCTATTTGCCTTTTCCCAATCATATTCAGATAAGTTTCTACGAACCAGAGTGATTGTGTGGTTGACTCGGTAATAAGATCATATAGCAACAGAGACAAGCGAGCGGAACATTCATTATTGGTAAAATAAATTATCTTGTTTTCCCGGGAGAGCAGCATATGTTTGTCTTTAAGCATTAGTCACTTCTTACGAACTGTAGTTCTAAATATAAATGCTTTTCGCCCCGTATATTCGTCAGAAGATTATCCTAGGGTCACTAATCACACGATAGCCTGCGTGAAACAGCCGACATTTTGCGACGCTTCCACTGGTTTGCCCGCGAAAGTGTCATTTCGCGGGGAAACCAGTGTAAGCGTCGCTAAATGTCGGCTGTTTTCTCATGCTACCTGCGTGCAGCCGTCTCCCGATTCAGTTTCCTGATTAACAAAGGAAATAAGAGACGTCTGCAGTCACATGAAATTCTACCTCAGAAAACGTTTGGCTAACTTTCCAATAAAGACCGGTCAATAAAAGCTGCAAATGTCAGCAGTATATATATCTAGCCGATTTTTTGAAAACGAGGCTAGTGGAATTTCAGCCATTTGGGTGACAAAGGGCTCCCAAACAGGTTTTTTGGGTCCGGTTAAATTACACTAGCGAATGAAAAGGAAAAGAGGAAGAAAGGAGACGAAGAGAAAAAAGCAAGGGTTGCACTCTTAGTTTTTATATTGGCTACTTTGGAGAAGAAAAAAAAGGTAAAAAACAATAATTGACGGAATTGAAGAGGTCTATTAGGCGGCAACGTTTTCAAAACTTCGGCGAGATACTACTTTAAAAAAAATGGTAAAAGAAAATAGTGCGGCAACTGTGTCGTGGGGAAATACAATGGGAAAATAACTCAGCTTGTTTGTTAAAAAAAAAAAAAAAACAAGAACAAACCCGTGATGATATTGCTATCGTTGCATCCGGGTATTTAGGGGCAAACATGCAACTCGCCTCAGTGTTATGCCCTTAGAGATTTTGCCGGACAAAATATAATCAGTCAATGTATAGTACGTCCGGTATAACATCCTTTCTTGAATGTTTCCAGTGGGTCTGCTTTTTGACCATTAGATTTGAAACCGCCTGGGGGTATATATATAAAAAACATGTTCTGTTTGCCTCAACATGGGAAACAAAGCTCGCGGCAAATGTGTGCTATTGATGACAAGGCTAAGCGAGGAATAACGTTACGAATGTCTTTTATACCAAGGCATTACACATGAGATAATGTTAGGCGAAGTGGTGAAAAATTGCGAGAATTCAGTTCGAGCCAAGTGATTTGCACTGTGAGCACGTGGTCAAGCATGGTTAAGAACTATGACACCTGCATGGAACACTCTAGATTCTGATTGGTTAGAAACCAGATACGCTCGATGCCTGTCGCCTGAGCCTGAGGCCCGTTGTCTAAGAAAATGCCTTGTCATAAAATCCCATTATGATGAAGTTATAATGATGTCTTTTTGTCAAGCGCGTAAATACGGTGTTAGACAGGAGTCCATAAACCTACAGTCTCCTTCTGCTGGCAATTAGTGTCAAAGCGCGTTAGAATTTTAGTATATTTTTAGACTCCACTTCCCAAGAAATTCGCTGTTAAATTCGCTTTGTCGGCTTAGTGCCAAGACCTCATTTATCTCATTATTCCGGGGCCTATGCGTTTTGCATCAGGAGCTTCAAGCCAGTGTCTCGGACAATTCACCGAAAAGCATTGACCGTGAAGGCCTGGGAGAAGAGGCCATTCAGTGCCGATGGACCGTTCGTGCCAATAGAGACTTTCCTATCTTTCAGAGATCTGACTCCATACCGTTATACAGGGTTTAAACAATAGCTTTCAGACTTTTCGTGTCTAAGCGTTTCGCCAAGCGAGAAATGTATTTTCCGATTGTTATTTATGATGTCGTGATGTCAGTGTTCTCCGGCTTCAAACTGCTGACCTGCTGATGGAGTCCCGTAAGGTGGTTCTAACTTTTGAGTCTGTGGATGAAATCCTGTGATGTGACCATTCAAATGAAACCTCTTCAGCAGTACTTTCACATCGTAATTATTGTTTCTCAGCATTTTACAAAAATGAAATGTGGAAAATTTGTCAATACTGAAGAATAAAAAGGGCTGAAGCAATGATATTCTAGACAGAAGCCACGGGTTTCCTAGGTCCAATGTTGTTAAACCAGTTTAACTCTTTTTTTTTTACACTACGCTGCTCCCATCACGGCCCAGTTGCTGGAAATTCTACTCTACACTTGTTAGCCGAGAGTTGCTTGGCGTGAAAGGTTAATCTTATTAGGAGCAAGGGTAGCACAGATGGTTAGTGTGCGGTCTTCGGTGCGCCAGGTCCCGAGTTCGATCCCCGGTGACATCACATCCTTGTTTCAACTTCTCTCCTTTCTGTGTAGCTTTGACTAGCTTTAAATACCCTTAAAAGCGAGCATTGATGGAGAGAGGGGGATAAAAGGAGCGCACCGTCGACCTCAAGTTTATCATTTATTATTACTGTCACGAGTTACCGACATAAAATGTGGTTTCTTTACCTTTACCTTTAATTCATATGAAAAGGCCTCAACTACGCTGTTACCCATGCAGACCTTTCCACTTGGTGAAAAATGGATGGTCTGAGGATAATTTGCCAACCATGTTCCAAGGGCCTTTCCCGGCTGAGGAAATGGGAGGGGAGGGTGGGGACGAGGCTGACGAATGACTTCTGTGTTGGTTTGCCGCCTTACTGGCAAAGACAGAAAATATATTTTTGAACCATCCGACACAAGATCCAACTAGGCAGTTGTTAAAGTTTGATCTTTCTTTGGTCCACAGATTCCGTTTACGATACAGTACCACGTGTGACAGTTACTACAGAGACTGGTTTGATGCCATAGATCCATCCTCAAAGGGAGTAATCCCGGGATGGGATAAAGCTATCTACTCTGTTGACAACGTGCGCCGACACTTAAACGAAGACATTGGCCAGGTAACGCACCCGTTGGTCGAGTTTATAGTAGAGACAACCGGTTATCCTTCTTGGCGATTTTTATCGTCAGATTACTAATCTTTACAGGGTATATCGCGAACCAGTTAATGACCAGCTCCCTGTTGGCTCGCTACAAAAGCTCAATTAGTTAGAGCACTGTACCGGTATCGCAGATGTCAGGGTTCGACTCTCTTGACAAACCTGAAGTTTTTCACGCTTTCTTTTCGCAACTGCATAAGTTGCGTCTTTAACTGCGGTGATCTTCTTTGCATTCATTAATTCCTCTTGGTATAAATTCGAGAGACAAATTTATACGAATCTTTAGTTTGAGAAAGGGTTTAGACAGAAAAAATGAAACAAACTGGCGGCGTTCATAGCCCTTTTAATCTATTTTAAGGAATTGCTTGAGAGAAATTCTTAGAGACTCAGGGGCACCCAACGAGGATATAGTTCAAAACCACTAAAGCATAGCATTGTTGAACGTATTTTAGTATTCAAACGGTAGATATAGGCATATTTTTATCCCCTAAAAACGTTTCATCTGTTCGGATTTCCTAGCTGAAAGTCTAGTGATCCGAAGATTGTAGGGATAAAAACTTACCTTCTCGAAAATTTCAGCCAGGAAAAGTCTCCCGAAAATTCTAGGTGGCCTTTTTTTGGGTCAAAATCCGTTAAAAATGGGTAATTATACCATTTTGTAGATGTTCGAAAATCCTAGGAGAGGCAGGCAAGCAAGAAATTTTACAAGAAATGCTCCGAAAATTCTAGATCTCAAATCGTCTTCCGAACTGATATTTTCCCGAAAATTGCCGTTGGGTGCCCCTGAAGACTGAGGAGTATTTCAGCTGAATAGTTGGCTGGCAAAGTGCATGATTAAATTGGCAACAATGGACATTGATTTCATCGATTGTCGGCTTGTCCATAAGTCCGGAAAGAAAATAAAGATGCGGCAATACAGAAACAACGAATGGTCGGAGAAGTGTTTGTCCAGTTGGTATGGAAAAAAAAGGAATGGAGATTCTTTTTTATGCTTAGAAATCTTCCAAAGAAATAGGTATCAGTCTCTCTCAATTTAAAATTGAGGCCAAATCTGTCTTCGTTTTTCGTCTAGGTATAAATTCAATGGCGGATTATCCGTGTCAGACAAATCACACGAAGGACGAATTTTCGCCTAAACTTCGTCTAAACACCAATTCGTCTTTGACGGATAATTCCTTTCTAGTTTAAATTTAGCCAACATCAAATAACAAATGCTGTTCCATAATGTAGAGTCATGTCTTCTTGGGAAGAAGAGAACTGCCCCCAAGTTCATTGGTTTCAGGAAAAGGAGAATATTCGTTATGCCTTAAGTATTGGTCAAGCTGGGCTGCCTGTTCTCTCAAGGTATTCCCACCTTTATGCCCAGTTTCTTTCTTGTCCACAGGTGTACCTAGAGAGGGTGCCAGGATCCAGTACAGGGTGTATCAAATGGCACATAGATTTTGGCTGCTGTGGTCTGCTGGTCGATGAAGTCACCCTCCGACTGTCATGCGTAGAGGAATACGGAGGAGAAATCACTGTCACCATGACGGGAATTCCAGGCCAAAAGCGTGTTCGTTATGCTGTAGGTAAGAAAATCAAGACTGACAATAGTATCCGAGTTTTACAGAGAAAGGGGCTGTGACACTGCTGGTGATTTCATTTTGTTTATAATGCTACTCACGCTATAATAATAATAATAATAATAATAATAATAATAATATTTATAGAGGGAGCCCAACTCGCCAAGGCGGTTTTCAGTGGGGCCCTCATGCATTAATCTAACTAATTAATTAATAATTACGAAAAAAGTAAAATATGTTTACAAGTAAAACAAATTTAAAAATTTAAAATCTTAAAATCGATTATACAAAAAAAACATCAAGGTTTAAAATTAGCTGAGATCTTTTAAAAAAGTTTTTAACTTGGATTTAAAAATAGATAAAATATTACACTCTTTTAAATCATTTGGAAGGCTGTTCCAGTCTTTCGCGGCGTGAAAAATAAAAGTTTGTTTACCCCAGTTTGTTCTGGGTAGGGGTAAGCGAATATCATTAGAGCGTCTTGTATTATATGAATGAACAGCTTGACTTTTAGTAAAATTAAAGCTGAAATCGGTTTCTCCAATAAGACACTTGTGGATTGCAATGCAGCGATGAAAAACCTTCTTGTGGACAGTGACTTCAAATCTAGACTTTTCAGTGCTTCAGTTGACGAGCTTCGGGGTGGTTGTCCCAGCATAACTTTAGCAGCTTTATTCTGTAGAATCTGTAATTCTGACATGATGGTGTCATTGTTTTTGTCCCCCCATATAACGTCTCCGTAATCAAAAAGAGGGAGGATTAGGGCATTGTACAAGGCAACTCTAGCTTGTAGCGGCAATAGATTCCTGATTCTCCAAATTAGGCCTATTCTCTGATTAATCTTCATGCTGATAGCATCGACGTGATCTGCCCAGGACATAGACTGTTGAAGCGTTACGCCTAGGTATTTGAATGATTGTGTTCTTTCAATGCTAGTGCCCTCTACTTTAACCGAAATGCCTTGAATACGATTCAGTTTCTGAGGACTTCCAAAGATAACAAAATTACATTTGGATATATTTAGTGTCAGGAGATTTCTAGAGAACCACTCAGACACTGTCCCCAAGTCAGCATTGATGTGATGTTCAAGATCACTGATGCTTTTGGATGAGTAATAGAGTACAGTATCGTCTGCATAAAGAATAATATCGCTTGCCAGGTGACAGTCCGGAAGATCATTCACGTAAATTAAAAACAATAAAGGTCCCAATATACTTCCTTGCGGTACTCCAATAGGCATTTCGGTAGATGCAGAGTGAGCATCTCCAACTGATGTAATTTGAGATCTGTTTGTGAGGTACGATCTAAACCACTGGGTGGTAGAGGTGGTAAGACCGATGTGCGTCAATTTTTGCAGCAGCAGGGGATGATCCACTGTATCGAAGGCCTTAGACAGGTCCAGAAAAACAGCACCTGTAAAGGAACCAGCGTCCATATTCTGGAGGATATTGTCTGTGAAATGAGATAGGGCTGTTCCAGTTGATAACTTCGGCCTGAACCCAAATTGCTTAGATGTAAGGATACCATTGTTTTTAAGATAAGCGTACAGTTGGGTGTGCACGGCTTTTTCTAGAATTTTACTGATCGTTGGCAGCACAGTAATGGGTCTGTAATTGTTAGCATCACAGCGATCACCTTTCTTGAATAACGCTGCCACTTTTCCAAATTTCCAAAGAGAAGGAAAGGTGCGAGTTTCCAGGGAAAGATTAAATAATCTAGTAAGACTGGCACTGATTACTGAGGCAGAATCTTTCAGTAGACGAGCACTGATATTATCTAGGCCAATGGCTTTATTGGTTTTGAGCTGCTTAAGCTGACGAAGAACGAAGTCTTCCGTAATTGGCTCGAAAGCAAATTCATGGGGTAGATTCGAGTTTACCGGAGGCGCCGAGTACATGTGGGATCCACAAGACTTGAGCTTTTGCGCCAATTTAGTTCCAATTGTTGAAAAGTGTTCATTCAGAATCTTGGCGATAGATTTATTGCTGGAGTATTGAACACCGTCGGCCTCAATGCAGGAGATGGGAGTTCTTTCTTTGCGAGATGTTATGTCGTTTAGAGTTTTCCATAATGCACTTGGATTAGATTTGTTTTCGGTAATAAGCTTAGAATAGTATTCCGATTTACATCTCTTTGTCTCCTTATTTACGTAGTTCTTAAGTTCCTTATAGCGTGACCAATGATTGGCAGACTTTGTTTTCAGGGCTTTACGATGGTAATAATCTCGTTGGTGCATAGCTTCAGATAGCTGTGCGTTTATCCAGGGAGAACGGACCCCTTTAATTCTTGATTTCCTCATCGGAGCATGACTATCGGCAACATGAGTAAAAAGATTGTTCCAATCATTTACCGCGGAGTCAATGTCCTGCTTGTTTAGAGCTTGGTTCCAGTCAATTTCTTTCAAGTCATTCACAAATTCCTGCTTTGAATAATGTTTGTATGACCGATATTCGATGGTTCTCCCGGGAGCCTTGGGAACACCTGATTTGATAACACAGAAGATCAAACAATGGTCGCTTAAAGGTGATGGAATAACGCCTCGGTCAATGACACGATGAGAAGTGTTAGTAAACAATAAGTCAATCAGTGTAGATGACGTTTCCGTTATCCTCGTTGATGTGTTAATTACTTGGTCAAGGTGATGAACATTTGCCACCTGGAGAAGTTTGCGCTTCTTGGCTTTATCATTATTCATCTCAGAGCTTGCAAAATTTATGTTGAAATCCCCGAGCAAAATAAGCTCAGTCTTAACGGGCATAGATGACAAAGATGTATTTAAAATTTGAATAAACGTTTCCTTATTCGTTATGAGAATTGGGAAATTACTTGTGGATGAGAAAATCACAGCTTTGTATCAAACAAATATGTTTCCCGAGCATTATATCAAACGTTACAAACAACAAAAACGACCTTTGAAACACGGTTAAGCTAACAAGTTTACAAAAACCACAATTGCCATCCCCATCAATCTTCTTCAAGGTTGTCCATCCGCGCGTTCTTTTGTACATGCTGTGTTTTTTATACCTTCTTATTTTAACATTTTGAGTGGCTATTTTCATGTTTCACTTAATTTGGTGGCATTGCAGCCATTGCACTGCGCCATTTCGGGGGCGTAGCTCCTCTAACTTGTGAAATCTTGTGCAAGGTTATGAGTTTACGTACTGAGGAAGAGTAAGACAATGCAAGATACATGTTACATACCGTAAAATTCCGAAAATAAGCCCCACCACGTATAAGCCCCTCAAACCGGTAACGCAAAAAACCCTCCGTTAAATCGCCCCTCCAAATATAAGACCCCCGGGGGCTTGTACTTGGAAATTGCCCTCAAATGCAAAGTAAAACAAAGCAAAAACGGTAAATTTGCTTCCAAATATAAGGCTAGCCCAATCGATTTTGAAACGCAAATTCCCTCCGTAGATAAGCCCCTCAATAAGGGCCTTTGACAAATATAAGCCTCGGGGCCTATTTTCGGAATTTTACGGTATCTTGTTGGCCGCCTCAGGCTGTATATCATAAGATGGTAGAACGGAGTCGAGTTTTCCAACATGAAGGAGGTAATCAGAGTAAAAATTTCTTGGCACTTTTCAAATGAATTGCAATCGAAATTAAGAATTGTTTTAAACGCCCCACCAGGGCAGGGTCAAAAAGTAGTGAATGCATTCTAGGGTCTGGCTACCTAAAAGGTGGATAAGGCTGTCCAATGGATAGCGCAATTGGTTTCAACAATACTTATCAGTGGCAGATCTAGACCTTCAGATAAGGGGGGGCGGGTGGGTCTGAAAAAAAATTTCTCTGCCCTCCGGGCCTCAGGTTGGTCTAACAATAAGGGGGGAGGATGGGTCCCCCGGGCCCCTCCCCTTGATCCGCCACTGCTTATCTGCTGTATGGTGATTTATCCGGTCAATAGCGCTATCCAGCTATTGCCGAACAACTGAGGTACGTCGAGGTAAGGATTAACACATTGAACGTTTGGTTTCGTCTTTTTGATTTACACCAGGTAGCGACTATGTGACGTACACAGAATTGCAGAACTCGCCTGAATTAACGCTTGCTGTTCATTTCGTTGGAGAAGCTGACCAGGTTACTCAGCTGTTTCCACAAAACATTCTGCGTGGTATGGGATATCCGCTGGACATTCAAGTCATTCTTAAGGTGGGTCTTCAGCGGTCACGTGATCACGTTAGGGACTTATACGTGGCAAAGGCTATGCTATACCTCAGGCGAGGCTTGGAAGACTGTTTTAATTAACTCAAGAAGAAATTCGAAAATTGGGAGAGAAATGTTCACACTTCTGGTATGTCTTGCTGATCAGAAGTCTTACAGATCCTACGTTTGCAGTCACTTGGCAGTCAGGACCCTTGGCAGTCAGGACCTCTTACGCTTTTATAATACCATTTTTCACAGAAAAGGTACCCCTTTCGTATACCTTCTGTTGACAAATGGTATCCCTTTCACATACCTAGTTTAGAATTTTGCATCCGTTTTCAATTGCTGTAAATGTACTGTCTCCTAAATATAAATAAATCACAAAAGTAGAGCGTTTTTTTCGACTTTTCACAGACATAAAATGCATCTGCTAGCCCTTTTGGGCATTTGTACGGATTTTTACAGACCGAAATGATAGATTTCCCTAACCGTTAATATACCAGAAGCCTGAGAAAGGCACCCATATCGGGCGGAGCCTCCTAGTATAAGGAGTGCCCCCCCCCCCCGGGAGGGTCAGGACTATTGTTACCTGGAGGAATGTATAATCTTTCACTTGTCTTTAGTGTTCTTTGTCCCGTGTACCCCAAGATTCTCTTTCTGGCCTAGAAACCAAAGTTGCAGGAGGGGAAGGCTCATATTGTTTCTATTTTTCACTTTTTTATTCAGCAACCTCTAAGTTCCTTAGGTAAACCGAGAATCCTCGTGGGTCTGCTCTACAGTAGCTCACAAGAAATTGAAGTGGATGCCAGACATTACAAACAAAACACAAGTAATCAATCAAGCCAAGGCTTTCTTCATATTCACCTGTTCCGAGGAAGGGACTTACCGCAAGGAAAACAGGGCTCAACAGAGACTTTCTCAAAATGGTAGGCAACGCGCAGTGCTCTCTTGAAAAAAAAACCTCTTTTTTGGTACATTTTTCTTTATAATATTGGGTTCCCTGTGGGTAAGCTCTTGACCCAACAGGGGAGGGAAGAATCAGTGGTGAAATGTAGGCTGTTTTCTCAGGCACCCATCCCTAAAAAACAAGTCACAAGTCATACTCCAGTTTACATCTCTTTAAAAGAAGACCCTTCTAACACACTAAAGGCATCTCTTTTATTAAGAGAAAAATCTCACTGACAGATATGGGCCTGCTGCACAAGACCTAACAATGGGCTCAACTGCTAACTTGTAGCGATGATAAAATACTGAAAGAGTTTGGCTAGGCGGAACGTCGAAAGATAGCAGTTATGTCTGTCATTAAGATTTATGCTAACTGACCCATGTTTTGATTTTGTATAATGAACAAGGAACGTCCTTTTTGGAACTGACTTAAAAACCATGTTAACACACGGGGCTTAATGCAAAATTTCAAGACATGGTGCCACGACTCGCGGCTTGATTAAGGTGTCCTGAAGTCACTTATGTCCAGAAATACATGCATGCAACTTGGTGCGATGTCGAAACTGGCAAAAAATCGCATTGGCGAAAATTTAAATAAGATTTTAAAAGGTGCCTCTCGTTAAGTGGCGAAGTTCAACTGAGCGTTCTGTCTTTTGAATAAGTATTTATTCAATAGCACTAGCTACAACAGCCCTCAGAACTTTTTCTCAGCTCCAGGTAATTGATAATAACGTTAACTGGTGTTTGTTTGTTTCCTCCTCAGTTATCTTCTTCCCGATGCCAAGAAAACAACCAAGTGCCGAACAAAGGCACGAAAAGGAAAAGACCCTTATTGGAATGAACAATATCTTGTGGTCGGTATCAACTATCACGAAATTAAACGCCGTGCGCTGGAGATATGCATAGCTGACAGTCGCACTTCCGTCGGAAAGAAGGCGAAGTTCATCGGAGGTCTTCGTCTCAGCCTCGGGTACGAGGCAGTTGTAAGTGCGCAAACCAAACAAGTTAATCAAGTGCTTCGGTTTCTGAAAATCAAAGGAGCAGCAGCAGGGGAAAAGAAAGATCTTCAGAGAAAAGTGTCCTTTAGTGACAAGGAGACTGTAATTGGAAGAGTGAACTCGAGCTCGTTGAAATGGAAGAAGGCAGCTTGGACCCGTGTAGCAACTGAGGGCAGTGTGGACATGAACAGAAACGAAGAGGAAGGAGAAAAGGAAGAAACTGCGGCAGATAGGGAGGATATAAAGATTGTTAACGACAACAAAAATGACGCCAAGAAAGAATCCCAAAGAGTATCTTATTCCTCGAGTGCAGAGGAAATTCCAACCGTATGGTACTCGGCCCCAGATCTCGTTGAGAGTCAAGAGAAAGTCCTGGGCACAAGCGTTACACGCCCTGAAAGAAACAGCACAGACACATCATGTTTTCATACAGGGATCTGCAATACAACACACTATGGCGAGTCGGAGGAAAGAAGAAAGTTAGATTTAGCCAATCAACGACTTCTCCAGTCTTTGATGAGCTCCATTAAGGAGCTAGAGTTTGTGCCTCGTCCTGGTAACGAGGAACAGTCAACAGGACAACAAGTAAACGACTCAAAACAAGATGAGATCACAACAGATATTGAAGAAAATGCGATTGTACTTAATGTCATACAGAAGGAGAACAATATCACAAAAGCGGAAAGCGAGGATTTGAATTGCACGAAGTCATCCGAACACTCCCGACATGAAAATGACCACGTGTCAAACAAAGAGGATAACGAGGAGTTTGGCACACCAACAGAGGCATCAAATGAAAAAATAGGCACAACAGAAAAAAAGAAAACAGGAAAAGTTGAAATAGACGCAGAGGCCTTAGAAAGTGAGAACACTTCCCTTGAAAAAGAGTCCCTTAAGGCATTTACAGTTTCGAAGGAAATAAAACGAAGCTCTTCATTCAATCTTAAAGACTTTGGAAAGAAGCTTGGCTTGCGCCAACGTATCAAATCAGGCGAAGACAACGGTCTCAATGCTAACTTTGAAACCAAGGCAGATAAGGTTATGCTGGACGCACAGGGACTGGAGATAACACAGTGGAGATTAATGGTTGAACGACCTAAAGAGTGGCATTACTGTTGGCATATTTTAAGATCGGAACTGACCATCCTACATTAGAGACTGAAAAACCCCTGATATATAACGCTACATGTAACCTTATTCTCACTACGACCTAATGCGGGGAAGCCACTCTGGACAAATTCGACTTGATCTGACGCTATCTTAGACGAAAATATACATGTGATATTCCCAGAGCTATCTTAAACTTGAAACACTGTTCTAAAGAAGCAAATGATAAAAAATTACCCACTCTTAGAAAAGAAAATAAAGAAAGTTGGCCCCATGTATAAGGTTTAAATCAGTTTTCTAATTATAAAGGCTTCAAACCCATACGACATGCAGCCTGTTCCTCAGGGGCACCCAACGGCAATTTTCGGGAAAATATCTGTTCGGAAGACGATTTGAGATCTAGAATTTTCGGAGCATTTGTTGTAAAATTTCTTGCTTGCCTGCCTCTCCTATGATTTTCGAACATCTACAAAATGGTATAATTACCCATTTTTAACGGATTTTGACTCTAAAAAAGGCCACCTAGAACTTTCGGGAGCCTTTTCCTGGCTGAAATTTTCGAGAAGGAAAATTTTTATCCCTATAATTTTCGGATCACTAGACTTTCAGCTAGGAAATCCGAACAGATGAAAAGTTTCTAGGGGATAAAAATATGCCTATATCTACCGTTTGAATACTAAAATACGTTCAACAATGCTATGTTAAGTGGTTTTGAACTATATCCTCGTTGGGTGCCCCTGGTTCCTATGGTGAAGCTTGATGCATTTTAATGGTACACGACTTGTGGTGAGAAGGATTAGTAAATATTGAACACATTATTTTGAAGAAAGAGCTATATACTCCGTTGATTTCAGTGATTTATGCGTTACTTTCAACTCAGATAGAGTAAAATACATTCCTTTTAAAGTAAATTTTAGTTTGATGTAAACTATATTATTTTATTACTGATTCAATCACATTGTAGGATATGTTATTACATAGATGTAATATATAGTTGTCGTGAATGTGGGTGGTGGAATTGCAATAAATACAACATATTATTCAATAGACGATGATAATCATCCTGGAAAAACTTAAGACTGGGGACCAAGGAGAAGATTTTTCATTAATAATCAAGTAGGTTATTACAGTATCGAAATAAAATGAAAAACAAGAATTTGCTTCTTTCGCATTGCCCATTACGTACCTTGTTTGCCCCTACCCCACCCCCACCCAATTTTGCATAACTATTGTTGCTTCCATTTTTTCCTGGGTGATACAGTCGTCTCAAGAGAAAATGAAAATTGGCGGCGGTGGGGTGGGGGAGGGGGGGATAAGGTGTACTTTGGGCAATGCGAAAGTTGTGAAACGACAGTTAAGAGAAAAGCAGCAATAAAACATTGTCAAAGTATAGCCAATGTAGTTGTAATATTCATTGATAGTATTGATGGCAAACTGAGTAGGGATAATCCGAGATGAGTTATTTATCCGATTCAAGATCATTCAAGGATCGCGTCTGACCTGCCTTGGAAAGGAAAATTTCTGTATTCAATAACTTGATAAGAATAATATATGTATTGATAAATACGGACAGTTATTTTACTGGCTAGGGAAATTTTGTGTAATCGTTAATAAAGAAGCATGTTAGTGAATGAAGTATTACTCAGCTTCAAGTCTAATGAACAGCGTCAAAACATAATACGGTATTCGTGGATCCTTCCACTGATCAAAAGGTTTTGCCGGGATTATTTTTGCCAACCAGGTTGATGTAAAAGTAAATTTCAACCCGCAGTTTGAGTTGGCGAGCTACGGTTGAGCCACGGAAGCCACGGTAGGTGCATTGCTGTTATACTTCCGGTCACGTGGTACGTTCCTCTCTTCGCCAATGAAAGGTAACCACGCTTCATTCAAACCGGTAGTGGAAACAGTACACATATGATTTCTGTCGATTTGGAAGCGGGATCATCGAGAACTATGGCCCCTTATGTTACTAACACAAAGAAATTAGCCGTGTGCTTTCTTGGAGTATTTGTATCATATTTTGTCTACGGACTTTTACAAGAAAAGATGTAAGTATACGTGAAAAAAATACGAATACAGGTGATACAATATAGCAGAACAGTTTGTCCCAGCTGTGAGAGAATCGTGAAGTTGTGAGTCGTAGTTTACAAAGCGTTGAAATTACGATTATTCTATGTTATCTATTCTATGGTGGGATTATATTTTGCGCTCAGGACATATAAGGTCCTTTCGGTGATTCGTTGGAAACATTTAACAGGCTGCTTGTATCCGAGCAGCCAAAATGTGGATACCCAAAGCGACCCGCAGTGTTACATGAACACACTGATGAACATCATAAGCTTACTTAAAAAAATAAAGTTATCGAAAGGGATTTTAAAAAGAAGAAGAAAAGCATGCTTACAATCAATTGAAAGAGACGCCATGAAGGATCGAAAGGTACAATATTAAATGGTCAGAAGCTTGAATCATATTGAGGTTAACATATTCGTCTTGAAATTATTTTTCTTCACAAGTGTTAGCGTGTTTGATCCCTGACTCTCCAGAAATTTCCATCACCTGAGAACTTATTCCAAAGCGATGGAAATTATCTTAATCATTTGTTTTCATGTTGTTATTGGCCCTCTATGCTTTGTTTTTTTAAATTAAGGCCAGGGTAACAAGGTTCCCATTTTAGAGTAATAAGGTCTCATATGTGTCTCATGTGTGATTTCACGGTCATGTCAAATTATTCTAGTATCCGGGAAATGAAAGAGTATAAAATAATGTGCAAGTAGTTTGCAGATTCAGGTCTGTGTGATTTTTCATGTGCATTGACAAGATTTAAAGAGAAATGTTAAATGGACCAAAATTAAAAGAACTTTGTTACAACTTATTGTGGGTATCCCTTGAAGGGGCATCATAATATGGGGACTGGAAACTAGCAGAAAATCTGTCATTTAGTTTGGCTATGAAAATGTGAAGTTATCACTTAACCCTGGGAAATTTTACTGTCTGACTATAATTAGAGCCAAACCCACCCCAAACACTCCTTTTAAGTCAAACACTTCGCGGCCTTCTGTTGCAGATGCATTATATCAGCTTCCAAAGTTCAGGCATGGTCAGATTGAAAGCAAAATAATTTCAAGACAGTCTTTGGGTTAAAAGTGAAATAGCAGTCTTGATATTTAACTTTCCCTTTCCCTCCTTTTTTGCTTTTCGTGGTTGTTAAAACTTCTGACGTCACAAGTGGTGCAAGGCACATGGATCAGCGCTGGCAGTTCGGGGCAAATGTGTTAAGGAGAGCTCTCACTAGCCCAACTGATAGTTCCACCTACATGAAGGCCTGGGTCATTGGACACCATCTTTGTCATGCCCTGAATTTTGCACTTACACTCAAATTCAGTTACTATGGAGCAACACTTTTACAATAACTTTGCTCCTGCTATGTTTTTCAGAACAAAAGCAAATTATGGTGAAGAGAAAGAAAAATTTGTCTATGCCCTTTCACTGGTATTTATTCAATGTATCATAAATGCAGTATTTGCTAAAGCAGGTAATTTTCATTTTCCGTTGGTTTTTAATCATTTATATAATTATGTAGTTTAATTGTATAGCAGATGTTTATGCCAGGAAATCACCAGTGGATATATACAGGGTTTGTACAGAGTCTTAACTTCTTGAAAATGTCTTGAAATTTGCAAAGCAATTTTCCAGCCCTGGAAAAAGTCTTGAAAAATGGTAAAAAGTCTGGATTTTTTTTTGTTTTCTTTTTCAACGTTACAACAAGTGCTTAACAAGTCAATTTTTTTTTTAATTGGTCAAATCCCATTCAATCTTGCTCGTAGCCAAGACAATCACAGAATGAGAAGTTTCATAATTCTCTTATGTCTGCATTGCATCGTGGTTATCATAAGTTTGCATTGCATCCTGAAAAAAAAGCCTGGTTCCTGCATTTTTCAAGGTCTCTGTTGATCATATAATTATTTGTTAACCTTGAGTCTGGGAAAATAAGCTGTTGTTTTGGAAATAGTCTGGAAAAAGTCTTGAATTTTGGATCCAAAATTCTGTACGTACCCAGTATATACAAGTGATCCTGCAGAAGGCACTACTCTCTCATTGGGACTTGGGGAAGCCTTCGTTCCCAACCCAGGCAAAATTATTATTGAACAATAATTGTTCAATTTTACATTCCAAATTTACCCGACTGAGTCAGTCCTTTTCCCCAAAAACGGGGTGTCTGTAGGACACCCTGATGCTTATTTGGCCTAGCCTGGGGGTAAACTGACTCCATTTGGGAGAATATGATGAGAAGTTGTCAACAAGTGGTGTGTGAAAGGAGATGCAAGAGCAAGATGTTGGGGAAGAAAGGAGAGCTTGCAAAAATCTTGTAAACAGTGGGAAACCAAAAAGCATAGCAAATTTCTTTATTTTTACCACGTGACATGATATGGACCTATGATGTATAAACTCAGCTCACAAAATACACATCTAAATAACACTTTCATTTCTAGAGTGAAAGATGTAGTACTGAAAGAGGGCTCTAACTTTTGGGTCTGTGGACAGAATAGTCTGCAGTTTGACCATTTAAGTTAAACCTACTGGTATGTAGTAGCTGATACTTTCACATTCACTGTTTGTTTTTAGCATGTCACAAATAGTGAAATTTAGAATTTGTTTGACTATTTCTGAGAATGAAGGAGTTAAGCAAATACTGTAAATCCTCTATTAAGCCCCCCCTCTCAAATAAGCACCTTCTCTCTAATAAGCCCCCCCTCTCTATTAAGCCCCCCTCAAAAGTGCTTGGAAAAAAATAAGCCCCTTGGGGGGGCCTAATAGAGGATTTACAGTAGAAGAAAAGAGTCGATGAAGAAATAATTTTAATACATTTATATATTAAGGATAATTTACTTAATGAGTAATGATGTCATCTTTGCAGTGCTAAAACTCACTTACAAAGAAAATGAGGCCAAAGATACAACTCCATTTTGCTGGTATGGAATCTGTGCTACCACATATATTGCTGCAATGTTAGCCAGCAACAAAGCTCTACAGTGGGTCAATTATCCAACACAGGTTGGTTTAAATATTATTATAGACTTTATTTGAGTTTGAAAATTAGTTTAATGCTATTTCCTCAGTCAGCTGATCTTGACACACTTCTCTTACTCTTTAAATACATGTACATTGTGCGCAGAACAGAGAGTAGCCTGAATTTCAGCACAAGTAGCAAACTCCTGTAAGAGGTGATGTCTGTCTTAGGAGTGTGTGAAATTCAGGCCCTGGGTCCACACTAATGCATTTAGTTTTGGGGGATCTTGTCTCCTTCCCCAATTGAAGCCCATACCTTTTGTCCTTGCTTATAGTAACTTGGCAAATGGTAGTTAATTTTTTATCTCAGGTAGTTTTTATTTTTCCTTTGTTTCAACTTCATTAGCATACATTACCATACCCAAAAACAAAAGACAAAAAAAATTAGCTGAGATAAAAAATTAATTACAACTGCGGTCACACTTTTTCCTGACTCTATGCCTGTTAGTATTGACTGTTAGAACTTGTGTTATTGTTCGAGAATTCCTTAATGTATTTTACTAATAATTGGAAGCAAGAGTACGAGTATGAGGGTGTGAACACTTACAGTTTTGAAAAAGATCGTACTGACTAATAGAGTAATGACACAGCATAAAAATTTTCTTGAATAGGATTGCAGCTAAAGAAAGTTTAGATTAAGGTCTTTTTCAATTATGTTTAAAATGTCTAACTACTCTGACAGAGTGACATTCAGAACATACAAGATTTTTCTCACTGATCACTGTGTGTCATTGTTGTTTATTTTCAGGTTTTAGGGAAATCATGCAAGCCAATTCCAGGTAAAGCCATTTTATTTTATTTTATTTTATTATTATTTTTTTATTTTATTTATTCCTCCAATTCCTAGCTGATACATAGTTATGTAAATATAAAGCCATGTTTCAGTTGTCTTGATATTACACAAGTCAGACTAAAGCTTGTGTTGTTAATGGTAACAGGACACTTAAAATTAAAGAAAAAAGTGTTTAGAGTGAAAAAAAGAGTGATCAATCACAACAAAGATTAGGATGCACTGGCAGACTGTAAAACCACATTAATTTGAACTATAAAACTGCTTGCAGTTTTAGTTTTCACATACATTTACTGGATTAGCTTTTTCCTTGCAGTTGTCATTTCAGAAGTATTAATTTACTTTCTGTTTTTCACAGTTTTCTGAGTCACAGTAAATTACAGTTAAACCACCATTAAGCGGCCACCCTCGGGGTACCAGCAAGTACAAGGGACCGCTTAATGGAGGTTGGCTGCTCAATAGAGGTGATCGTATCAGCATAATCTTTAGCAGAAACATCACTTTATTTTTAAACAAACGCACTACGAAAGAAGCCTTACTGGTCCTAAATCAGTTGTCCCCTTCTATCTTGGACTGTGTTTTCCATGTAATATTCCTTTGCAGCATGCGAGAAATTACCATGCTTGGTTGCCTTCCATAATCTTTCCAAAATATGGTAATGTTGAAGAAAGGGAGAAAACAATAGTTAATAGATTACAGAAGGTAACAAAGCACGGTAAATTTTAGTGCTTCATAGGAATTTGATGTTGTGCTAAACTCGAGAGAATAGGAAAAGAATCTCAAAGCAAATCCAAATCTAACACATCACGTCAATATGTACTCAATTTGGGCCTACATTAGGCAACTTAAAATGTTTAAATGGACATGAAAATCAGGCATTTTATACTACACTGATCAATTGCAGCACTGAAATTTTGGTTTAATCGCTGTTTTCGTGAAAGTAGTCGTACAAAATTACAAAAAGAGCACAGTATTGCATTTTACCTTGATTCACATGTTTTCCGAAATCGCTCGAGTCTTCTTGGGCTTAGCCAATTGTAAAGTGTATAAGGGTCATTTAACAAAAGGTTACAAACGCAGCACTTGGTGGGAATTATAATCTTCTGATACACTGCTGGGCTCGGATGCGAGGAATTCATATAGGTTAACTTAGTAACTTTATAATTTTCTCTTTAACGTTCCATATTAATTTTCTGTAACCGTTATATATCCTGTTTGAATAATACTTGAAGAAACTGTTTTATAAGTTGATAAACATGCCTAAAACAAAGACTAGATCACTGCGGAAGAGAGAGCTAATCCAGTATGACAGGACTTGTCAACGGTCAATTAAAATAATATTAGTATAGAAAAAACTTGTGCGTTCCATAAGTCTGCATAGAAAAAACATTTTTCTTTTGGAGGTTTTTTTAAAAAAGAAAGCTCTTGATGAGCTTAATCATTTAAAAATTGGAAATTTCGAAAAATGATGATTTTTTTTTTTTAATACCTGGATGATACCTTAATGGAGGTTTAATTTTGTTTTTAATTTTCTACCAAATGTTATTTTGGGACTTTGATTACTGGCCACTTAATGGATGTTCAACTGTAATATACATTGTAGTGAATATTATTATCAGATCTTAAATGTGTTGACCCTTATATTAAAAGGGAATCAATTCAATGTAATTTTTTGGCCTACATGTATTTTTTTTCCTTTGTCTTTTTTTTTAGTTATGATTCTTGGAGTTCTATTGGCAAAGAAAAAGTACCCACTTATAAAATATATGTGTGTATTGCTTATCGTCTGTGGGGTAGCTTTATTCATGTACAAGGAGGTGAGATATGTCCAAATGTTATTTTAAGACAGAATCCATTAGGAAATTGAGTAATTTTAATTTTCAGTGAACAAAAACCTTGTACCAGAATGATTTCAATAATACTGGATTCTTTTTTACACTTTTCAAGGGCTATAAAATAGAAAAGATTCTCTTTGGAGTTATTTATTACATTTATAGCCCTTGAAAAGTGTAAAAAAGGATGCAATATGGCTTAAAATATTGTTACAAGGTTTTTATCCACTGAAAATTAAAATTACTCAATTTCCTGATGGATTCCATCTTTAATTTAATATGTAGTGTTGTTATCATGGTTTTATTGATGGGGTTTGTAAAAGACATACATGGCCCTCATGTGCAAAGAAAAAATGTAATTATTATGATTACTTTCAACAAGAACAGTAACATTGAACCTGTCCTTTGCCTTTGTTTGGTTTCCTTGTTGGTGGCATCCGTGGAGACCCAGGGGCGGTCGGTCAGGGCCGGAATAACGGTGGCGAAAGTTTTCAAGAAAGAGCTCAGTCAAATGTTTGTCTCTGATTGGACACAAAAAAATTACGTTTTGTGCCCATTCAGAGGCCAGCATTTATCGTGCTGCTCTTGTGATCTTCTTATATGAAGAAGTTTACCTGCAAACTCGACTATTTGCACCTGTCTGGCTCGTGTACGAGAACTTTCTTTGAGAAGAGTTTTCAGTGAAAGTGGGGCCCACAAAACCTAAGAAATTCCATAATTTAGCAGGCTCGCAAAGCAAAACAAAACAAAAATTTCACCAAATGAAGATATCAGACTGTGGACTGATCAAAGGTAAATTCGCTAACACCAGACTACATTTCTGAGGATGTGTTGGTGGACACCAAACAATCTTTGAAGTTTGATTTAAAAATAACTGGCACATCTTTAATGCAGCCACACTGTACATGTTCTTGTGACCTTTCCTTTGATGCCTGTATTAAAGAGGTTCAGGTGGACATTTGAACATAATATAATTTGCTGGGTATAGTTTCCTTTGTTTTTTCATTGCTCTGTTTTTGTTCCAGAATAAGAAAAAAGTTTCAAACACCAGTGATGGATGGATTGGATTTGGAGAAATTCTTCTTGTGAGTTTTTGTAGTCACAATTTTTTTTAAGGGGCTAATTTATAAATTCAGGGCTCGAAAAAAAATTCCAGCATGTCCTTTGGATAAGCAGTTCTCTCATTTTGCTTGCCCTGGGCAATTACTTCATTGCTTCAGTGGTTCCTTTAATCATGTACAAAATGGTCCAGTAGAGTTGAGATGGTGTCAAACAAAGTTTATTAGGGAGCATTATGAAAATAAAAATATTTTGGTGATTTTTGCAGGCAGAGCATTAAAACTTAAAAAAGGTTTTTTCAAGTTTCAATCCATGTCTATTGTTGCCATTCATTGTTACAGATGACAGTGGCGAGAATCAATTTCTAAAATAATTATAGTCTTGAAAAACAAATTTCAAGTTGTTGGGTAAATACAGCAAGTAGGTGGGGAGTCAAACAGCCAGAGACTTCTTTTGGTTCTATTTTTCTTCTATTTTCTCATGAAAGTAGGCGGGGGCCACGTTCTCGGTAGCCTGGGGAAATCCTTGGCCCCTTCCTCTTAATGACAGCCATGTGTTTAGAATTCAATGATGGAAAAAAGTTTTAGATTTTTAAAAGGAGAGGAAATAGCCTGACTTACGTGTAGCCCCTTTAAGAAACAGCAATTGATATGTCATGATTTCATAAGTAAGTCTGTATAAGAGTGTAATTCGGAAGGCTGATTCAAGTTTAATGGAAAGGCTAGGTTGCCCATTCAAGGGTCTGATGTATTTTTGTGGCTGGTATTTTCTCCTTCAGTGGGTCTGGGAACAAAGTTTGTGAATGTACAGTCGTTATGTTTTAACAGGTTTTCTTCTCTTTCAACACACCTCGACATATTTGTAATTGTCACAAAGTTGTAGTTTTGTTATAATCACTAAACCTGAATATCTATGTGGAGGTGAGGGTAGATAGTCAAAAATACTAAAGCAAGCAGTCTGAACTGCCGCCATAAGACATACAGCCCCTTTAAAGAGAATAAGATACTGGTCTGCACTCTTCATGACTCTTAAGTGGTTTTTCAAAGAGTTAGTTAAGAAAATTTAAAGGTTAAAGGTTTGTTTACAGTGAAAAGTGCACCTAGCTTATCCAGCTTATGTGCAGGAACTCCACTCAAATACTTAGAAACAAATAATCCAAATAGAGCATAAAAGGATTAAAAACCCCAACTGGTAGGAGGCAACCAGTTGGCTATTTAGCAGCGTGGCCAAGAAACTTGGGACAACCGAGAACAAATCCAGCAAGTGGCCAGACAGGGACTCAAACCCATGGGCCCGTTTCTCGAAAGCCCCGATAATTAACGGGTCCGTAAAGCTGTTGTTGTTTACATTCAAGATAGAGTTCAATAGTGTTGCATCAAACATGATAAAACTATCAGTTAGTGAAACAAAATGGAGTAGTTTGCTAGCCAGCACCCAAGCCCTTATTCCTTATATTTCGATTTGAATATTTGATTTCGCGCCCAAAAAGTTACCTGGACTTTCGAGAAACGTGCCCCAGGACCGCCGGATTGACCACTCGGTCACGCTGCCTCCTAGACTGCAAAACAGTCCGTATTTTTGCGTATTCAAGTACGCGCGAGCAGTCAAACGAGGCTGAAAACGGGCCCTACGGGCGTGTGAGGCTCGCGCGCTTTGCGCGCGTAAGACTCTTACGCCACGCTTTACCGATTTCTTTACTGATTTTGAGAAAAAAACCGACTGTTTTGCAGTCTAGCTGCCTCCAAGTACAACAAAATGATTTAAAAATATATTAATTTCTTGGCAGTTGGTATCTTTGACATGTGATGGATTAACAGGAGCAGTTCAAGACAGAATGAGAGCGGAACATCATGTTCAATCACATCACATGATGTTCAACATGAATCTCTGGTCAATCGGCATCTTGGCCATCTGTAAGTTTAGCTGCTTTCTTTTTATTATGATACTTTGAAAGGAGAGTGCCTTTGTTTAAGTTGGGTAACCCTGTCGACACTGCTGATATCCATGGGGTACCTGTGTGACTTTCTATGACCTATGTAACTGTATGCCTCGCTTACTTGCGTGAAGCCCGAAACCTACATGTAAAAATTAATAGCAAGGCATGTGTTTGAATGCTTCAAAATAAGAAAAGAGAATGAAGGCAAAAAGTAGATTAAAATATCTGTCTGCATGTCTATGATATGTATGTAATTATCTCTACTGTAATCACATGCTATCTGGCATAAGACCCCAAATAAAATATTGTCTCTTGTCTGTTGTGAAAAGACATATCATTACCAGCTATTTTCATGGAGGAGCTCACTCTGCATCTAAGTGTAGGAGATTAGCTGTTAGTGATCTGATCTTTTGGGGCAACAAGTTCTTATTATGAATAAACTATATGAGAACTATGGGCCTAAATGTCTTCTTTTTGTTCGGGAAGGCTGGTTCCACTCAGTCAGCACGCGCTCTCTCGGTTGTGTATAAAAGTGGGAGTGAGACCTGTGTACAGGGAGTTGGGACTGGGGGACACGAGATGAGGGACTTGAGGATGTTGAGTTGGAAGCTTAAGCAACAACGACCGCGGCGGCTACGAAAACGTCACTTGAAAAGTGATGCCCCCCTGCTTTAAACTTCATCGCGCATATTGCATGTCGTTCAATTCGTCAAATATTAGCAATTTTTTCTGGAGTTGAGTTCTAAAAAACTTTATCGAAGTTCAGGAAAAGAAGAAGAAAGTCGTTGTCTTGAGTTCACGTCGTTCACAAAACGTGAAATTAGGCATTTTCGCGTCGTAGTCGTGCAGTGACGGTAAAGGAATGTACTAAAAAGCGTGATGCACGTAGAAAGTTGTTGTTTTGCCAATTTAAACCAATTGCTTTTTTGCCGTTCTCGTTGACGTCGCCGCTGTCGTTGCTTAGTAAGTTCTCTATCCTAGTAACAGGACCCGAGGACCCGAGGACCCGAAATATGGGTCGCGGGGACGTGAAATACTGGACTCGGGCACGCGAGGTGAGGGGCTTGGGGATGTTGAGTAACAGGACGCGGGAACCCGAAATACAGGACGCGGGGACGGGAGATGAGGGACTTGAGGATGTTGAGTAACAGGACGCGGAGACGCGAAATGAGGGACTTTAGGACGTTATAAAGTAACCGGAGATATGGAACACGACGAAGCGAAATACAAGACACGAACTGCAGAATACCGATATGAACCGGCCGGCCCCACCTTGGGGCATTTGCAGTTTTTCCAAAAAAATAATTGACAAATGCCCCGGGGATTATTAACGCTTGGAATTGACTGAGCCATAATTCCTATGTCTATGTTATCATTAGCGAGTTTCGATAAACTTTGAAAGTTCACAGCTCACTTTGACATATAAACCTTTTTATTGAGATGTAAACTAAAAGCCATTGATAATGGGAACTATAAAAAACCTATACAAATCGATTTAAGACGACATAATAACTGTACGCAACCCGTATTTTATTGAAGGTGTTCCGAATACGGGTACACCGTAAGGAGTTAAAGTACCTTATTACATGAAATTTTGGCGACACGTTAATTTAGCAATTTTGAAAATTCCCTATTTAGCGGCACTTTAATTTAGCGATTTTTCGTTAATTTTGAAACATAAGTCACTTAATTTTCGTGCTTTCAATACCCGACTGAAACCTTGGCGAATTAAGGTATTAAAAACTTTTACGAAGACAATAGAGGCCGTCGATAAAATCCGGAACATGGAACATTCGGAACATTGTTTTATCATACCCGGAGATGATATAAAATTTCTTTGTCTTTCGGTTTTTTGTTATTTTACGTTATTATTAATTTTTATAAAAATTGTTTTATTATTATTATTATTTTATTTATTTATTTTCATGAAAATGTTTTTTTTTTTCATGTTCCGGGATGTTCCGGAATGTTCCGGCATGTTCCAGAATGTTCCATGTTCCGGATTTTATCGACGGCCGATAAAATCATAAATGTGAATAGCTTCATTTTTATCAAAATCATGCAAGCGTTCTGAAACTTAATTTTGAACGAAACAAACGAAACTGCGACTGGAATGTCATGTCTTAAAACATAAAGTCAATGATACATTCATATATTCGTATTTTCATGTACCGAAAATTTCCCAATATTTTCTCGAAGAATAAAGAAATACGATAACTAAACCCACCCACTAGTAAGAGTATATGTATTTATCTTGTGCGTGCCGAGCGAAGGGTAGCGTGACGAATCAAATAACGGCCGCATGTAGCATAATCAATCACACAACTCATACCATACATGCACTCAGCTTCTTTGCATTCTGCATGGCTGATCGAACGATTTGCCGTTTTGGCATCTGAAGAAACATGAAAGTTATATGCGCGGGATAAAGCAAGACTGGTACGTCCTCCATGGCAAAAGCCTTACAAATCCTTGGATTTTCAGTCTTTGACTGCAATGAACATCTCGCAGGGGCACCCAACGACAATTTTCGGAAAAATATCTGTTCGGAAGACGATTTGAGATCTAGAATTTTCGGAACGTTTGTTGTAAAATTTCTTGCTTGCCTGCCTCTCCTAGGATTTTCTAACATCTAAAAAATGGTATAATTACCTATTTTTAACGTATTTTTATCCTAAAAAGGTCACCTAGAATTTTCGGCAGCCTTTTTTCTGGCTGAAATTTTCGAAAAGGCGAGTTTTGATCCCTATAATTTTCGGATCACTAGACTGTCAGCTAGGAAATCCGAACAGATGAAAAGTTTTTAGAGGATAAAAATATGCCTTTATCTACCCTTTAAATACTAAAATACGTTTAACAATGCTATGTTTAAGTGGTTTTGAACTATATTCTCGTTGGGTGCCCCTGATCTCGTTATCCATCATGATGAATGGGCCTCTGTTTATCGTCGCGGAAAGATGCCTGATTTCTTGTCCATGTATCAAAATGTCGATGCAATTACAGATCTTCCAGCCGCATTGTGGTACGAAGAAATCCACAAAACGTTTCCTGATGCAAAGGTTATTCTATCCGTAAGAGATAGCGAGGAAGTCTGGGTTAAGAGCTGGGTACAACACAACGACCTTTATCTCCATCTTAGGTTTCTTCAATACATAATCTTTTGGTATATTGCGCCATATATAGTAGGTGGTTTCGACGCAATCTTGGCTCGTGAAATAGATGTGGCTGCCTACGGAAGTTTGTGCTCTGAATCCACTGTCCTATTCAAGAAGAAATATCGGGAACACAACGAGAGAGTTCAAGCTATTATTCCAAAGGAAAAGTTGCTGATCTACAATGTTAAACAAGGCTGGAAACCCCTGTGTGAATTTCTTGGCTGTGAGATTCCTGAACGAGAATTTCCGAGAGAAAATGTTGGAGACGCGCGAACCAAAAAAGGTATAAAGTCTGAGCTACAGCTTGGGACAATGAAGCTCTTCGTTATCTTTGCAGCTCTTGGTTTCCTAGCAAGTGCTGTACATCTAATGTGGTACTGTAATGAGTCTTTCGTGAAAGATGTTATTCATCGTGGTTAATGTCTATAAAGGGTTTCGTTTATCGTTTATCTCACGATTTTCACGTAGATATTGATCGCGACGTTTGTTGCTACACGAGACAACCTCCAGCTAAGGCCAAATGTTAATTTCTTTTCCATTTTTTTGTTTCGTGACCACAGAAATGCAGTTCTTGAGGTAAGGGTTTCGTGACAATATTTCACGCTTGGCTTCATGCGTCTGGATTACTCGAGTATAAAATGCTAATACAAGTATTTTCCCATTCCAAATAATCAATTTTCGAGTTGTGTCGTTGAAATGGAACCCTTGTCACAATGGAGTGTGCTAAATAGATGTCGGAATTCGTGACGAAAGTTAATGTGTACCGAGATATATAGAGCAGAGCAGAATGCAAACCAAGACATGGGGACTGGACGCTTTGTGTGACAGGAAGCTTTGTGAGAGACTTTTCTTTTCGTTTTAATGAAATATTGAAGTTTTTATTGTCATTATAATGGTAAAAGAAATTTCCTAAATAATATACACGGTCTTCTAAAAAACTAAAACTACGAAAACGTCTAAAAATTCAGCGTGCGTTCTTGTGAAAAGGGGTTCTGTTCTGATATCCGTGTTCTAAGCCAAGATATGGCACTGGCATAAGACTCGCCGCTCTTTCGGGAAAGTTTGTCCGCTAGGTTGCTCAGGCAAAGTTTGCATTCTTTCCACATTCCACCGTTCGTGCCAAAAACCGGGGAATTAAAAGATCCCATTTCCACGTCAATAACTCTTTGTTGGTGCTTCCCTTTCTTCCCTTTCTCATGTTCCACGAAGATTAATTCTGTGGATTTGTTCTGGACTCCTCGTCTTACACGACAGGGCGTGGCTGACGGTGAATAGATCTCCACACGTGCAATGGCTCGGCAAGTCGGCTCCTTGCAGATGGTAACGCAAACGTAGCGAGTCCCAAACTTGTTGTTTATTCAATGTCAGCTCCTGCTCCTCAAGGGGTACTGTGTTGAGCCACGAGCTTGCATCCTTGTCTCTTGCCTGCATTGTCGACCATCGCAAGTCCGGTTGTAGAGATGCATCAACAGCCTCTCTTCTCATATTCACCGCTGTTGTCTTTAGCGACTGCTGTTGTCGTTTCAGGTCTTCCAAAGTTTGCTCATCCGGTGGCATGAACGTGCTGTGCGTACAAAAAGCTGCTATAATAGTGTGGGGCTTCAGTTTTCAGGTCTGGTATACCGAGACCCCCTTGTGCTGGCGGCAGGGTGAATAGTTCTCGAAACTCATCAGGCGTTGTGAGAGACTGGGCATAAAAATATCCAACCCTCGAACCTTCAAGGGAAATCGAATCGAGTTGTCGGGAGCTCGAAGAAAATAGCCGGAAGTGAAAAAAAAAAACAGTTTTTATTGAACAGTGAACATTTTAATCACATTCTTGTGTAGAAATGTTAAGTGAATATTGAATGCTACTTGTAGACTATAAATCAACACGGCGAAACGTAACATAATATAACCTAAATAGAGCATGCGTTTTAACGTTTACTGTTTTACTGTAATCGGCCTCCACTATATGCCAACAACACGTCAATTTGAATTTCAAAAACGTCTGTTTATATCCTAAAACCATGCCGAGACGCAGGCCAAAGTTTTGAAGAAAGCCTTCAAAGAGGTAAGCTTGTAAAGAACTTAGAAATATTTTTAATGAATAATAAAACAATTGTTGAATTCAGCTTTCGTATGATGTGATCTCGATCAGCCTAAATTCTTCGCATCACGACTCAGCTTCATTCCGTAATTGCGGGCTCATCCCCGAAAATCTCCAAAATCGGTCCACATTCTTGGGATGTGGTAAGCTAAGCTTTCTCATTATTTTTTATTGCATATGAACGGCCTTTGGTCATTGAACACGGATTGAATATTCGATTGAATAATAACTTCGTGCAGTCATGATTACTTGTGTCACGCATTGCTTGTATCACGCATTACTTGTGTCACGCATTACTTGTATCACCCGTTACTGTTTCATTGTAACTTTGCCAGCGAATACAGCTCTCTCTCCTCCCTCCTCACTATTCGTAGGCTAATTGTATCTAAACAACTGTGAATAAAATCATTGAATTAAATATGAGTTTTGTTTACTGTGTTGCTCAATTAAGTTTCCATGCTCATGACCCGCTCATGACAAAACTAAAAGGGCTCTCTCTGGTTCACGTACAAAATTATGAAAGCGGTCCTCTTCAATCACATCTCTAAGGTAAACCCACATGTTCGCCTTCACTTCCTAATCACTGGTTACTGCTAGTTGCTAAAAATACGTTTAAAACATTTTCACGAAGAAAGTGACTGATTCGCATTTACCTCCGACTTTTGCAATAAATTAATCGCGTCCCGGCGTCCTGTATTTCACGTCCTTCACGTCTCGCATCCTCAAGTCCCTCATCTCGCGTCCCCGAGTGCCAACGCCATGTACACACTTCCTAGTGTCCCCGTCCCCATGTCTCACTCCCATTTTTATACACAGCCGACTTGTCACATATTTTAGAGCAAAAGGAAGAATGTTACAGTCCACAAATAAACCGGGCGTTTTGGGCAGTTTTGGCTCTTTATAGCCAGGCAATGGCTTGACTAGCTTAAAAAAAGCTTTTCAGCAAAACTCCCAGGAGCGAATATAAAACCTTGTTCTTACATTGCGAAGCTACGCGCGCGAACCGTAGCCGTTGGATTCTCCAATGAACGCTACATTTCGGAGAATAGTAGTAATAAGCACAGTACTCTCAGGAGCAGCATCCCTTAAAGCGCTTATTGTTTTATATGTTATTGTTATTCAAATTATTATTTTTTGACATTGTAATACTGATATGGCTGTCTGGAAGGGGTTTTTGAACTAAAAAAAAAGAATGATTAGTACTGTGTTATAAGTGAATGACTCTCTCTGCCAGCGGAGCCATAAGGATTCCTTTTAACACCAGTGAGAGCCACTGCGTAAGAGAGAGCGAAACGAGAAGTTTTGATATCTCTTTATGGCGAAATTAACATCTCTTTTGGGAAACAAACATTTTTCTAAAATTTCTGCTTTATGATTTGACAGCACTTTTGACAACCGGAGAAGTATTCCAGTTTGTGAGTTTCTGTGAGCGGTATCCTTATGTGTTGGTTCATATACTGTCGTTCAGTTTGGCCAGCGCCATTGGACAGGTATGACTTACTATAATATCGTTCTTCTTATAAGCTATTACAAATGCCCCATTAATTCCAACTAAACATGTTTAATTATTCCAGGTTTTAAAAATGAAAAAAAAAATAGTCACGGAAAACTGGAACAGAGGTTTTCACACAAGTGAAATTCAACATGTTTCGTAATTTGCACTAAATTTACGATTAAGGGCCTGATTACATGGAGGTGGGGTACCCCAGATAGGTGAGGTAACCCGCTTAGATGGGGTAACTCACCTGTCCATATAATCTCTCATTTTAATGTGATCACGTTTACATGATAGGTGGGGTAACCCGCCACATGTTACCTCACCTACCTGGGGTCCCCCACCTTCATGTAAACAGGCCCTACTTATGTCAGTAAGCAGCTTTTATGAAGGAATCAATTTTAAACCGAGTTTAACTAAACAACTTTTAATCATGTTTGAGCTTTGGAGTGATTGGAGCTAAAGTCAGCGATTTATAAAACTAAAGGGATTCACTTGACTCTAACAGGATTCATAATAATAATAATGGTTTATTAACAGATCCACTGGGTGGCTCTTCTCTGTTAAATTACATTGATTACAATTACAAAATAAATCAAATTAAGTTATTTACAAATTATGCAATATACAATTAAAAGTAGAAGCAGGATTAACAGAGTCCAGTTACAGTAAAACTGACTAATAACTCTGTACTCTGTTTCTTAAAAATTTCCTTGAAAGTCTTAAAAAGGTTCTGTAATCTTTACCGTTTCTAATAGTTTCTAGTAGATTATTAAATAGCTTCGACGCATTATATTGGAAAGTGCCGTTTTCGGTCGGGACCACTAATCTAATTGAATTGCTTGAGCGCATTTCCTTGGGGCATTACTGTTTTATTATTTAAGATAATCTGCTAAAGTCTTAGTGTTATGTAGAGCTTTAAAGCATGATTTCGGGAGGTTCAAATCTCTTCTCTCATTGATTGGAAGCCATCCGATTTTTAGTACATCCCGAGAGTTCTTAACATAGTGACCGAGTATAAAACTTGCGGCAGCAAATTGAACCCGTTGCAAACGGCGAATTAAGAATTGTAGTAGAGGGTAAAAAACCAGATCGGCATAATGTAGTTTTGACGAAATCAATGTATATAGATTTAGCCAGGGCTAAAAGCGAAGCTCTCGTTGATATCTATAGTTTACTAAACAAGATATAAAATCGTGTAACGCCAAGGGGCGAAGGCAACTAAAACAGCCAAAAAAATCAGTAGGTCTAATTAGCAAAAAAAACTTTGCACGTGCAGCATACGTTTTTTTCTAATTAGCAAAAAACAACTTTGCACGCTTTGTTTGTACATTTCTGTGCCGCTGTTTTGCGCGACTACAATGTGAAACTTCCAGAAAATTCCTAGTTACACGTTTTATGGAGGAAATGTTGTATGTGTTCCTGTTCACTTTTTTTTCGCTGTCGATCATTTTCACCTTGGTGACTGCTGGCATTTCCCCTTTTTCTCACCGAGGCTATAAGTTTTTTTTTTTTTTTTCCAACGAAATTGTTCTCCTTTGGTTTTTGTGTCTAGCTCCAGCTCTTTCTCTGTTATCCACGTCAACGTAAAAACTGAAATTAAGTCGAAAGAAAGAATTGGCTTTTGTTGTTGTTGTTTTTATCTCTAGTTGTTTTTATCTCTAAAAGGTCGGGAAGCTATACGATTTACCGCCGAAACGCGCGGGTGCTTGAAATGCAGAATTTCATCCCAGCTTACATGAAGGGGTGGACGTACGTACGGACGATTTTCTCAGAAACAAAATTTCTTGGATGCACAGGTTACATATTTTCTTACCCATGGTGCTCCGCTGCGCGCGCGAGAGGTCCGCTAAAATCCTGGGTAGGCTGTGCAATCTGTTGTGCCCAATGGCTTGTGTTTCAACAATCAGATTGTTGAATCGTTTTGTCATTCACCACTTAAAACGAGAAAGGTACTGGAGCCGAAATGCGTCCTGCAACGCACAGCTGTGAGGGAGCTTTAATAAGCAAAAACGCAAGTCAACCATAAGTAACCTTTTTACTTTGTTGGGCGGTGATTTTGTCCAAGTTTTTGGCCAAATCGTCTCTTTAGGGGTAAACACACTTGACAATGAAAATTTGTTAGCGTCAAGGCATATCCAAAGGGGAAAAAAGGCGTCACTTCCGGTTGACGTGCGTCGTTCAATCACGCCGTTGCTTAAGGCCATTTTTTGTTGTCCCCAGTAACACTCCCAGAAGTCTTTGCAAAAGTTTATTCGGCCCAGTTCCGCTCTCGTTTATAAAGTCAACTTTCAACTTTATTTAAATTTCGAACTATAACAAAAAGTACATTGGGACTGGCCTGCAGTTAGCGAGGCTATTCGAGGCAGGCCAGGCTACATAATTTACTACAAACTAGACAAATACAAAGAAATTAGACATTACATAAGTATATATATTTTACAGTAAATAAATACTATTCCACGTAAATACAAGGATAATATGAAAGTAAAATTTAAAAAGTAAAATAAAACGAAAATAAAGGACAAGAGAGTTACTTTTTAATTTTCACAATAATCGTATCAAGATCAATATAGGAGTCTTCAGTTTGAAGGATATCGAGTAGCATTGCTTTTAGTGATCTTTCAAAAGCTTTTTTTGTTCTTTCTTTAAGAATTTGAGGTATCCCATTCCAAATTTTGACCCCAACACGCGAAAAAGCATTTCGTTTGACATTGAAGTCAAAGTGCCGAATCAGCAACTCGCACTCTACATGCTAGCTTATTTGGTAGCGTTCTTCTATTCTGCGGTGCGAGCCGAGAAGGGCTCAGTCGTATTTGGATGTCTCTAATGGAGATTGTTTCGCAGTCTTTTGATTCCTTTTTTTCCTTGGGATTCAGTGAGATTTTTCTTGTGTCACTACACAAGATCTTTAGAACAGTTTTCCGAAATTCACGAATCTTGAGGGCATAAATGACGAAATTCGCGAACGAATTACTGTATTGTAAGAACTTGGCAAAGTAAGTTAGATGGAGAACGTAGCACGAGTGGCAAAACATGATGATGAGGTTCATGATGTAGAAGGGAACCCAGGTCAGAACGAACACAAGAGTAATGATCGAAAGTGTCACGGCAAGTTTCTTCTCCTGCACTGTGGTATTCCTGTGGTGGATGTTCACAGGCTTCCTAATCTTCAGCCAAATCATGACGTAGGCAAGACTGATGAGAAGCAGCGAGGTGAATATACAGACCATCATAGAGTAGTTAAATGCATCTCTCAATACCGTTTTGCTAGTGAAATTTCTTATAACACGGAGACTCGCCATGCCGGCGGCAACAAACCAAACCAAAGCGATTTCGCACAAGTAGGTTTTTTTTGTGATAGTTTTGTGCTTATGAGGGCGTAACACTGAGTAGGCTCGGTCTAACGCGATTGCAACGAGGGCAAAAATGGACGCGAAGGCCGTGAAAGCATCTATGGGCAGATAGATTTCTTTAAACGGGAACCGTTCTTCTTCTTGAAAGTCAAAAAACAGCATTTCTGCCACGAGCAGCGGGATAGAGAATGCTCCTACCATAAAATCCGCAACTCCCAGGCTCACCAAGAAGTAATTAGTGCGGGCGCTTGCCAGTTTTTTGTTAATGCTGAACGCTGCAATTGTCAAGGAATTGCCCACCATGACTGCTAATGACACTATAGCGTACGATATGGCCCAGCCAAGCAGGCCTGGGTACAGTCCTCCGTCTTGTTCGGTTCCAGTTTTTGATCCGTTGTCTGTTACATTTTTGGAAATCATCGTGAGAGATCACAGGTGTAGAGAAAGCGAGACACAAATGCCGACTTCGCTTCCGCTCACATCCGGTAAATTGTTACCTGAAAAACAAATGGTAGATTTTTTTCAAATTTAATACCAAAAACTATGGTGGCCCACAACTGTCACGGCAAAACCGAAAACCTCAAGGCAAAAACAAAAACCTCACGGCAGAACCAGGTTTGAGGTTTTCGGTGTTGCCGTGAGGTATTTTGTTTTTGCCGTGAGGTTTTTGGTTTTGCCGTGAGGTTTTCGGTGTTGCCGTGAGGTATTTTGTTTTTGCCGTGAGGTTTTTGGTTTTGCCGTGAGGTTTTTGGTTTTGCCGTGACAGTTGTGAGCCACGGTAAAAAACAAGTACAAAATCAAACATTATAAAAGCTCAAAACATTAGGAGGCCTAGAGCGAGTACACCAGTTTTTATTTGAATGGCCTCAGGTCAGAGATTTATCAGCGGATGCGAAAGATGGAACCTCCTTGTGCAGCCAAATAAACAGCAGAATGACAAAATTTGTTGTCTCTACTAAAAATCGGTACAAAATTTTTTTTTTATAAGATTTGCTTTAGAAAATACATCCGCTCCTAAAACCAGTAATTTTTTAAACAACGCGTGTCAGTCTAGAATTGAATACATTTTTCTGCGTTAAAATTGAGCGAACAACTTTTGGCGCGTCCGAGGCGCGTTCAAAAATTGATTAATTGTTTTTGCTTTGTTTAGTTTTTTCGACTAAAATTTTGCGACCCTCAAAGCAGGACAAAGGCGCTTTTTAAAACAAATTTGGTAGGAACTACATCCAACCTATTAAACGCTCCTTTTGGCGTAAACTTCTTCTAAGTTTATAAAACACAGTGCGTATGTGACCGGTAAATTTCCCAAGAATGGCCACGTCTCCTAAGTCTTAAAAACGGTCAAATCAGTTTTAGCTCGATCCTTAACATGACAGTAAACATGACTGAGAATGATCACACTGCCAAGCGTCATGCGCCCACTAAAGTCGTAAAACCACATTGATCCCTGGTACGATTTTTCTAGTATTCAATTTCCTTTCAGACCTACCAAATGCATTAAACTGTTTAAATAACGCCCCTTAAAATCAGCGACAGTCCAGAAAGCTTTCCTTATCAATTTTCTTTCACTTGGTAGTGTAAAGAAAAAAAAAAGAAAAATGTCATCTTTTCTATCTTATTTACCAAGGAAGACTTTCTAGCATACTGATACAATATGAATCTGAACGTTAAAGCTGCAGATTGGACTAGTTTACAGGTGTCATTGAAGTGGTGTATGTGGTGATTTGAAATGTTTTAAAAACGTAGAGTTTTTGTTATTGAAAATTAATATGGTACACTTGTTCATGTGTAAGTTTTACATTGGAGCGGCTTCTTCGGTATGAATTCAGTAGACTTGTTAATAAAAAATGTAGATGAATAAAGTTTCAGGTAGTTTAGTGTCTATACATTTGCTCCTTTATTTGTCAACAGCTTTGTCATTTTTGTCTGTGTTTGTCTGAGTGCTTTTAAAGCAGACAAGTCGTTAAACTGGGCGGCGTTTTTTTTTTCTCAAAATTGCGCAGTGTCGAAGTTTTTTTGTTGTCTTGTCCTTCTTGAATGTCGTTTCATTTTATTCAAATTACATCTTATTTACTTTTGCGTTAATTTCCAACATAGGATGTCTTCAACGTTTGCTAACCAAATTACACCTTGGTGTGAAGTAAAAACGATAGATCAACACCAGCAGTTTAACAGAATACGGAATGACATCAGAAATACAGCGCCGGTTAGCTTGTGTGCATAAATTTCAGTCACAGTGTTTTCTCGCTTCTTTTAAATTTTGTTACATGTTTGTCATGCCTCTGTCCTTTGCCATAGGTTTTTCTTATCTGCTGGGGCAAAAATTTCCGTCTTCTGTAAAAACCATTTTTATTATTTCTTTGGTAGCTCGGAAATGGCTTATGTAATTTGAAGGTAAAGTGTTTTCTTTTAATGTTTAGTTTCTACAAACCCTGTTTTCGTTTCCTCGATAATTGCTCCATTTCAGCAACGTCCTGACATGATATGTTGTTTCTCTGGCATTATCATATTTAAAGGTTAAAAGATAAGCAATAGTACCAAAACCAAAATATGTTCTATTTAAACTCTCGCAATGTTAATTGTTGCAGTTTTTCGTGTCCTTTTCGCCACCTTCGCGCAGTTTTCTGACCAAAATAATAAAAATTTTCAAAATGAATTTTTTTTTGTTTTTTTACCAAAGTGGATTTAATAATGTGCGCAAGCTTGCCCTTTTTTCCTATAATTGCAACGCATTGTTCATTTTATATTATGGTTGAGAAGAAGTTAAAATTTTATTGATGTCATTTACCGGTAGCGTTTTCTGCATCAGAAATCTAATTCTTATTCTAAGAAACAGCTTTCTTCGTTTTGTTTGTTTAGCAAAACCTATGGCTTCATAACTTCAACGAGCAAATTCAAGTTCTGTTTTCTTGAGGTCGTTTTTATCTTGTCATTCAATTGCCCTGTGCCCGCGTTTTATCTTTGTCACGGAAACTTGTAATAGCCGGAATGAATTTGGAATTTTTTTAAAATCCCAACTTACCTTTGAGTTCGATTTCAGTGCAATGTATTCTTTGTATTTTCTTAATCGTGTATATTCTCTCTATGAAGTGAACTTCATCTAGCACAGTGTTCACATAATGCATGTACTAACCGTTTGTGTAAGAGTTAAAGACCTGTAGATGGTCTGGTGGCAGATTTCCCTCTTAACGCCAGCACCTTCAGCTTTGAACAACACTTTCTTCGAGTTATTTCCTGTCTTTTGACCAATAGAATTTCACCAGTCCTTAATCGTGACGACTAATTTGGGTTTATTCTGCAAATAAGGGTAGCGACAGTCAAGAAATCGATCGGATTATCATTTTCCTCTTTGTATTATTTTTTTAGCCTTGGGATGAAAACCTTGAGACTGAAAACCATTGTATTCACTTCAGACAAAAGATAGGGAAATATATCGGGAAATTTTCTTTTAATTGCTTTGGAGATTAAAATAAAAGATATATCCTTTCGTTACGACTTAAATAGTTCCGCAGGTCTTTTGCCAATTGTCGCTTTTCAGTCATTCTATCATGTTTTCTGCTCAGCTAGATCATGCGATTATTTTTCTTTTTGACTTTTCGTCACTTCTGAGGACGTAGCATTTGAATGATTTTCTTGTATTTATATCTGACTTCACCTGCCACTATGATCTGTTTTACTGAACGTTTCATTTAGCATGGGTTCCTTTTTGTTAAGCAAACATGGTATGATAATGTCCCTTCTCCGAATTTAAAGTATTTTTTGTTGTCTTGAAAGAGTTGATTATTACTGAATTTTGAGGAGTTGAGTTAGTTATTCCAGCCTCAAGCGAGCTTGTCATAAAGATGACATCTCGTGTTGGCAAACTACACGTTTCGCCGGTTTTGCTGCATGCACAGTTTTGGCGGAAAAAACAGAAACATTGTTACGAAAATGTATCTCCTGATTCCCAACTAACAGAACCAAGACCCGCTTAAATCGTTGTACATCAAGAGGAGAAAACATTTAGGTTCTTGTCAGAATGTATGAAGTACTTATTCAGTGCAACTTTGCAAATGAATGTAGTTTTTTTTTTCCTGCGATGTTTACTGTAGTGTTTAAGGCGACTCACCGCTTATTATGCTTGTTATAGTATGATCTTTTATATGAAAGCTGCTGAACCTCACTATACGCTTTTAGTTTTTTCTAAGTAAGACCTGCATGCTGACTTTGTACTTTGCGAAGGTGGGCTAAAAATTAGTCATGTACTAAAACCGATCTTGACTGAAACAGGCGCAGCGAATGGCGCAATAATCAATCATAACTCATAATTTAAGCCTGAGGAAAATCACCTGTTAACTGGATTTAATAACTTCCATAAACCCGAAGATGTCGAGGATCACTTTTTCATTATTATTAAGGTCGCGTTTCGTGGCAGAACGGCTTTGTCTTTGCCCTCTCAATTTAGACTCACACCTTGAGTAGTGGACTCATTTCGATAGAATAAGCGTCCTATCAAAACGAGGCTTCGAATAACAGCAAACGTCATCACTGATTTAAGGGATCCGAATGGGCTCCGAAAGCTCTGCGTATCTTTCAACAAATTGTTGCTGTTGAAGAATTATTTTTGAAAAATATAACGCCCCAACAGCGGAATCTTTACTCTGCCAAGCGTCAGACTATGTTTTGTCACGTTTATTGCAACTTTCAAATAAGTCTCGCAGTTGTGATAATAACTTCTGTTAGTGAAACGGTTAGACTTTCTATGACAGAGCTACTCGGTTTTTTTTTTCGAAGCGCAGATCTCCAAAATGACAGTCTAAAAATATATTTTGTTTTTACAACCACGAGAATAAAATTGATTTTACAAACGAGGAAATTTCTTCGTTTGGACGCCCTGATATGATATCAGTAGTATAACGCTCCTATGCGGCGCCTTCCTGCCCGCCACGGATAAGATGAGATAGATAGGGAAATAAGTGCTACATTCATCAACAACAACAACATAAACTTTGTTTTCACTCGAATTTTGAAGTAGCTAGCGAGCTAATAGACACCTTAAGATCGAGGTTGGTCATGTTACTGGAAACGACAAACTGCGGTTCGCGGTTAACGGTTTCACGTTACCCGTCTGCCCAATGTTTGGGACTTAAGATTCGCGGATGGTAGCTTGCGGCTACCATGTTTGTTTTCATTCATCCACCTACTTCTATTTTAACTGAGAAATTGTCTTCAAAAGAACGGTTTTTTTAATAGAATTCGATAATCAATAAGCAAAAGAGTTCTAAAAAGGCGTATTTCTTCTCAAACGTAGGATTGTGATGTTTTAGGATGCAAAAAAACCTTGCGGTAAATCACTTACCTCTGGAGCGTGGTCTTGCCGAACAAAAGTGAAGCTCAAACCGCAAACCTGACGGCAAGGCCTTGCTCACGTGATTTCCTGACGTTCGCGATTCGTGGGAAATGGCGTAAAACCTCAATCTTAAGTTCTCTATTATCCGGCTTCGAGTTGACACCACGTAAAAATACATTAAATACATTTACGAGTCCACAGTTAAAAGAAACTAATATTTACAATTTTAAGTATAAGTATATAAAAGCAAAAAGAATCTACTTAAAGGTAACACCCTGTATTTTAGTCTTAAAATTGGCAAAAAAAACAAGTGCGAAAAAGAGTCAGGGAGTGCATTCCACTGTTTATTATAGCTGAAAAGTAAGAAAAGGAGTTAAGACCATAGGTAGTTGTCTTAGCTTTACTTAGTGATAGAATGTAGTTGCTACAGTCAACAGCAGCACGACGTTTGTAACTGGCCTTGCTTATTCGTAAGGTCAAAATGATCGGCCAATGCGTCGTGTTATTCGGTCACGGAACAGACGGACTAAAGCAAAGTCACTGCAAGCCCCTGCAGTACTTGAGTTTATGCTCTTATACGTGATCCGTAGTTATCTAGCCTTATCGACTCAAAATTCTCAGATAAAAAATATGGCTTCTTAAAGGATTGTTAATTACTGGAGCCTTCTTTATTTTCTCGACTTTTTCATTTTCTCTCACATTTGCGCCGTTTTCGGTTAACACTTGTTTTTTCTGTCACTACTTATGGTGACAGTTTTGTAATACGCCGTTTACCAATAGTAAAAAAATGTGGGAGAGAAAGAAAAAGTTTGAACAAATATAGGGATGATTTAATTCATATTAATGTAGTTGATGATGAAGTTTCAAAAATCGCTTTGTAGCAGCAACCTCATCACCGAAATGAGGCTGCAATTATCATTCAGAATCACTGCAAAAGACCTCTGATGAATTTTCTAAATTTGTTGATGTTCGAAGAAATTTCGTTTTTTCTCTTTTAGTATGTCCCATATGAAGAATCTTCATTCCCTAATGTTTTTTTTTTATTATTTTTGTTTCAGAATTTTATCTTCATGACCGTTGCTAACTTTGGTCCCCTGACCTGTTCCATCATCACAACCACTCGGAAGTTCTTTACCATCCTTGGCTCTGTGTTGCTGTTTGGAAATTCACTGATCGCTCGCCAATGGTTTGGTGTCATTTGCGTTTTTGCTGGACTTACACTCGACAGTATTTATGGCAAAGGAAAGAAAAAAATGTAAAGGAAGTTAGTAATACGATTAAAAATCGCTTATTTTAACTTTCACTACATTAAAATTGTTTTAAATGTCAAAAAATCTCGTTAAACAATTTTATAGAGATAAATTAATTCACAAAATTTTGTCTTAAACGGCTTTAAACAGGAGCCTACTAGCCTGTACTGCTGGTGGCTTCGTCGGAGCACGATAAAAGAAGTACGTATTCGCGAGAGACATAGCGGTAGAGCGGCTCCGCCACGAATTTGTTTTAAACGCGCTCCGACGAAACTGCTAAGTGCCGGCTAGAAGCCCACAATCCTCAGCGTGTAGAGGTAGTAAATGTGCAATACACGTCTTCTTTGTAAATTTTCGATTGTTTTAGCCATTATTTATTTTAGAGGTTTCCAACCTCTAACACTTTGTCCCTGAAGTCACAAAAGCGAAAAGAGCCGAACGTTATACATATTAAAAAACTAATTGCAGAGATTGCGAATGGAGCAGCTGTTTAAGCAGAAAATGCTGTTCATTCGGCACCTGACCTTGTCCAAATTCAAACGTAAATAACTTATTCAGCGAATGGAAAGTGCCTGTTGACTCCAGTTTCCACGCCATCTAGCGTCATCTTCGAAGTTTCTCCTCATCTTTCTTGAGATTTCACTCACGATAACGTGAAAACACGATTAGGGATTTGTGGAACAGTTGTTGAACCACTTTTTTGCCATATGCTCTGACGAGCGGCACCAAATATTTCCTGATCAACCATTTTCAAACGCTTCGATCTTCGCGAAAAAGTGTTAAAGTTTTCGCTCAGGAGACCTTAGTAGATTGGGACCTGGAAACAAGTACTTTCAGCCAAAACTCTGTCGCCAAGAGTTTCCATGTCGCTAGAAATCGTGGCATTTCTTCGAATCGAATTTACTGTTGCCGTATTTACTCGAATAAGCGTCGCCCTCAAATAAACGCCGCTGCCCTGATATAGTCGAAGTCAAGAGATGTTAATTCTGTTAGTTTGATAGAGTTTAATACGGAAAATAGTAATTCCGTGGTTAATACAATTTTTCCTAATAAGCGCTGCCCTCGAATAAGCGCCGCGCCCGCGGAATGATAACTTACATAAGCGGAGCGGCGCTTATTCGAGTAAATACAGTACTCTACTTCATTTTATTAGCCTCCATGAAGAGAAAATAATCACGGAATACTTTTAGTTTGAGAATGAGGATTCGTCATTCGTCAAAAGGATATATGTATGTATTAAACATACGAACAATCACGAGAGTCAAGTGAGGATTTCTCCTCCCCCACCCCCCTCCCTTCCCCTGACGAGCGGAGCCTCCTTTCGTCTTGCTGGAAGAGGAGAAGAAAAGGAGGGAGATTCTGCCTGAATCTCGTAAAGTCTTTGAAGTCACCGCAGCCCGAATTTCTGGGCTAGTCAATATTGTTTTATCCCGTCAAACCATTGTCAAACTGTTTTTTTATTTTTCAAGTGCGAGCATCCGTTTATTGATAACCAACAATCGGCGATAAAATGGGTTGAGACACTTCGCCCTAAATGGACTTTTTGACGTTTTCCGGACTTCAAAAGGGGAAAAGATAGCGTTTCCTCCCCCATACCCTCCATGCAATGTTGTGCCATTGTTCGAGCTACCTTTAAAAAACAAGAAACATCCCAACTTTGAATGGAGGGGACAGGGGAGGGGTGTGGATTCTTATGCTTCAGAAGTTACCCTATTTGAGTACAACAATTTTTCTCAACAATTTTGTCGCCGATTGAAGTCCGCCGTACCAAGCGCACGGCTATTAGGCCTGGGTTCAAAACTGTATCCTAGCAAAATTCAGCGCATGCTCAACAAAGGTTCAAGCAGAGTCTTTCTCGAGTAATTTCCTCGAGTACGCCAAAAGAAAGCCACCGCTAGCGGAATGGGATTTCTCACAATATCACGCTTGAGTCCAAGAAAGTCGATTATACTTGAAGACTTTATTTACAGAGGTAATTTATCAAATAAGCAAGAGATGTAATATAATACGAAAATAAAATCATGTTTTATTTTAGCAACTTTCGCCTTGTTTATTTTGTAGTCAGTGGTTTTACCTTTCAGCTTGAGTTTTGACTCATGTGTGTCATGCTGTTGAAGATGTTTTGGCTGACAAAATTTTGAAACAATCGCTGAACATTCTGGTCTGGTATTTAAATACAGTACAGATTACAGATACAAGTGTTTATCAAATTATTCTCTCGACACGTTTTCCTTCAGTGCCTGTATATTATCTGCCTTTACAAAGAAAAAATTTTTTTTTCAAGGAAAGCAAGTTATAGTTGTCACTAGCTTTTAGCGTTTTTTTTTTTCAGAAACATTTTTTGATTGCGTAATTGCTACCATACGTTGCTAGGTAATGACGGTATTACTGTATAGTATTACTGGAGAAGTGGCTATTGTTTCTCGCTCATTGGTCTCGCTTGCGTAAGCAACGCGTTTTTGATCGTATTTTGGACACCAATAGGGGATCATTGTGCCAGGCGTTCCTAACGGAGACCGTGGAAACCGGGACTAAGAATCGTTGCGTGAATGAAGCCACGCACGTTTAGGAAAGATTAAACAGGGGTACCCAACTACTGTTTTCTGTAAAATATCTGTTTGAAGAAGCAAATATTGCCCAGAATTTTCTATTACTTGAGGACAGCTAAAAATTTCTAGATGACCGTTCCATTCAAGTACAATTTTTGAAGCTCATCTAATAAATTCCCCACGATTATCTGAAGTTTAGATTTTCACATTTCATTCCCCAGGTTAGCTTATTTTTCGTAGAAAAAAGGAAACCTAACATTTTCGGATTCAGAAATGTGATAGAAAGGAGAATCAGAAAAGTTCTCCCCTTCGTAATACGGTCAAATTGTATCTAAAATTTTTGGGAAAATAATTGTGAATCTCTCGTAATTTCGAAAAGTCTCCAATTCCCCTAGGATGACAGAACAGATACAAATTTTATAGCGCTGCTTAGAATGCAGTTCTAGAGATCTATAAAAGTGCTCTGGATAGCCCAAAAAGTGTTTTCAAAGTATTTAGGGGAAACCGTCGTTGGGTGCCCCTGATTAAATTTAGAGCTTTTTCGAAACTTAGCGGTCCACGAATTCTGTGGCTTGAAAGCGTTGATTACTTTGGAACAGGTGAACACTACTGAGTAGTCGAAAAAAATAAGAATCTTACAGTCAAACCAGGTCAAGCGTTCCCGTCGCTAACGAACTAATGAATTCATTCACGGAAAAATGATTTCGTTTGTTGATTCAATAATCCATTCATAAAATGAACAATCCAATAGTCATATTTAGCCTGGATTCCATAATCGAATGTTGATTCGATTACTGTTTTTTGAAAAATTACACTTTCCTCAAGTTGACCTCAGAATTTTGTTTTTTCCTCTTTTTTTTCTGAGAGTCGAGTGCTGGCGAGTTCTGAAGTTCAAACCCAAACAAACTGTTACATGTACGCCAGTTTGCTGCAATAGACCTAGGCCTGACCTCTTAGAAAACACGACGGTCAAACTGAGGTCAGTGTATGTGCGGTGATTGGTGGATTTCGATCCTCGGCCTTTGTCAGTTTCTTTGCGTTTGCGGTCTGTCTATTCTAGCTGTTATTTTGATTAAAGGCAATGAAAAACGCAATCGTAAACGGCAGGAAAAGGGAAGCAAATACGATTGAACACAACAGACAAGAATAAAGAACAGGTAGATTTTGTTCATAAACCAAATCAACATTTGATTATTGAATCGAGGTACAATTTGACCGTTGGATTATTCATTTTATGAATGGATTATTGAATCAACAAACGAAATCATTTTCCCATTAATGAATTCATTAGTTTGTTAGCGACGGGAACGCTTGACCTGGTTTGACTGTAATTAGCCACTCTGATTAGCGAAAACTACGATGGTCGGGTGTTGTAAACTTTCATTGTACGCAAATGAGTCTTGTGATGAGCGAGCGGTTTATTTTCGGCGATGATTGAAATGACGTGCCATGTAAATCACTTATTGATCCCTGACAATGATGCAATTTCTCTGGAATCGAGGCCCTTGAATTTTCGTGTATTTATACACGCGTATATCCTGCGACCGCAGACGTATTTCCGGTCGTCGCCAACACGCGAACTAAATCAATTCAGAAACAATTAAAAAGTATCGACGTCGATAAAGTAGGAAGTAAACAACCTTGAGCGAGTAAATCCTGTTTCGTGTAGAATTAATCGCCTCCTCATTTCTCAATCTAATCTCCAAGCAAGCAAGACTGAGTGCCAGTGCCGCTGTAAGCGCGTTCTTGTTCGCTTTTTGACAAGAGCCACATAAGTATTGCAGACACTAAAAAATGTCAGCAAGCTGCTTTGAACGCTACCTTCCACCAATTCTAGCATTGACTGCTTATTTTTGTGCCGATAGTGCGTGCACTTCCCGTCTCGAGAAACATTTAATTAAAATTATTATTCATTCAAATTCTGATTGCAGGGTGTCCAGTTCCTTTTTTTTCTTTTTTTTTTTCCCTATTTTTTGACCGTATTCCTATTTTATCCTATTTTTAAACAAAAACCTCTTATTTTTCCTATTTTTTAAGCTGGTGAAGCAAAAATTTGTATTAAAATTGAAAATGGAATTATAGTTGTATGTGTTTTAGAGTGAGATGCATCATCAAGCAAGTAGTACATTAACGTTGATGTCCTAATATTAGCAAAAATAATAGGTACATGAAATTTTGTTCCCTCCATGACCTGTATTGCCTGCTAGAGTTCTGTTAACAACTTTGTTATATTGTCACTTTTTGTATAATTTTCTAGTGTACCTACATGTATTGTATTTATATTGTGTGTAGTGTTATAGTTCTCATGACTATTGAATAATATTGTTTAGTATATACTAAAACAGTGGATAGTGTTTTTCGCGCGCTCTGATTGGCTACTCAATCAGTGAATATACTGCACTATTCACTGATTCACCTCCAGTTCAGCGAGCAAAACGCCTTCCCGGTTTGCTGCCGTAACAAACAAAGAAATGTCACGACTAATCAAGCAAGCTGTTTCCGAAATACACGAAGAAGGTGACGAAGTTCGGATTGAAAGTTTTAACTGGTAAAGCTTTGTCTTTTTGACACGAATTTATCGATAAAACCGGTGAAAAAGTTTTTTTGTTTACAAATGCAAATTAAGTTTAAGTCTTGCGTTACTTTATTTAGTTGAGTTGTTCATAAATAAGCTTAAAACTAAATTTAATAATCTTTTTTTATAGAATGATTTTAAATACAAAAAGAATTCACAACTCCTTTTGAAGAAATTTCCCCGCAAGAGCTAAACAAATGCCTTCAAAAGTTTTAATTGTCGGCAAGAAAAAGCGACGGCCGCGTCCGCCCGGTCATTACACGCCAAAATTGTAATCGTTGGTAACAGTATTTGAGATAAAAAATCATCATCTTTGTGCTCAATTATCTCACTGTTTTAGAATATACTAAAACAATTATTCACCTCAGTAACGGTGGCTAGTCGTGGATATTTACCTCACTGCTTCGCAGTTCGGTAAATATCCCCGACTAGCCACCTCCACTTCGGTGAATACATGTAATTGTTATGCATAGCCCACTGAAACTGAACTGCATTTCAGTATCTGTACACTACATGATATATTTTAAAGTCTTGTTCGCTTTATATTCATCTGTGAAACTGAAAACATGATAAAGTTGTCCTCTCACAACCGGTCATGTTGAAACGCAGACCATGCAGACTGCAGACTGCAGACTGCAGACCGTGCAGACCGTGCAGACCGTGCAGACTGTGCAGACTGAGTGTTATTTTTTTACTTGTACCTTTTCAGGTTAAGTGACTTAAAATAAAACCCTTTTCGGCTTCCTACAACGGCTACGAGAGAGACATTTCCTCAATTTCCTTGATTGTCGATGATCGTCTTTGGTTTCACTCTGTAATTCAAACCGGTGACTTGCCGTCATTTCTTCAAATCTTACAGCAGATACCGATGTACTGTCGCAATTTGTAATAATCATCGCACTTTGTAATACCTGTCGCAATTTGTAATAAATCCATCGCACTTTGTAATACCTGTCGCAATTTGTAATAAACCGTGTCGCACTTTGTAATAAAAAAGCTGTCGCAATTTGTAATAACAGCACATCGCACTTTGTAATAAACTAAGCTGTCGCAATTTGTAATAATTCCATCGCACTTTGTAATAATGTTTTGAGAGTGATTCGACTTACTTCGTCAACATTAATATAATGCCAAAATATGCATGGTACTTCATAAACAAAGATGATGACGTCTGCTAGCACGTAATATCTCCGTAACATTTTCTTTGGTTAAAAAGGCATGTCTTCCGCTATAAATTTCTCTGCCTTGATTAATCAAGTGACCAACTAGAAACGCTTAATGAAAGACATGAAACTTCCTGTGACATATCATAAAAAAGATATGAATCATGTTTAAATTCAAAAATATT